TCCTGTTTTGCTGCTGTTGCCAGTGTCGTGGCGGCAACCCTGTCCCAGGTCATTACCCTGGCTGGGACAGCTGGTTCCATTCTTCAGCTACTTCCTCTGGCACTCCCAGAACCACCATCAGGGTTTGCTCTGAGTCCCGGCTAGGTGGCACCCTTTTGGGGAGTCCCCGAGGATCTCTCAGGACAATTTCTTCTTCTACAGTGGCTTTACCCCATAAGGATGCCTCCCAAATCTGTATTTCCTCTCTGTACTTCTGACATTATGTATCCTGTAGTCTTGATATGAACCTGACCACAATTTTCTCTGCAGTTAGTAGGAATCCTGCGATTCACCTTGTTTCTCCTGCACTCCCCATTCATCCACAACCAATCTCCAACGTCAGGTCGTTTACACTAAAGTTATTTCTCCAATCTGCCCTCTCTTCTAGTTCCACTAAAACTTCTAAGAATTCCTCAAACTTTCTTGCTTAACCTTCTTCAATACTCTCTAGCCTCATCCTTGACTTTCTTTGACTCCACCACATTCACAGAGGTTGCTGGTGTGTCCAGGGCTCAAACGCACCCACACCGTTCTCACCCTCCCCTACTCCAGGCCCATCTTCTTCACTGCTCCACTATGCCACTGCTTTCCTGTTGTGCCGTGCCACACCTTTACCTCCACTGTTTCGCTTTCTTTTCTTTAAATATTCTATTTCTCACACATGGAGTTCATCTGGCTAAGCAGTTTAAGACGCAACTTAATGTCAGCAGTCCAGGAAGATGTCCTTACACCTCCTTCCTCCACTGTGTACATACATGTTGGTGTATTTTCATCGCTGCCCAGGGCTGTAATACTGTTACCCAACGGACAGCGATTTCAAAGGGCCACTTGCACACAGTACTTGTCATTCATTGGGCTCTAACAAGAATTTTTTGGTGTATTTTAAGAAATCATTACAAGGCCAAACCAAATTATATTTTTACCATAAAGAATCCTACCAGATGGAACAGCACTGAGCAATTAAAAAAAAAAAAAAAAACCCAAACAAAACTACTAACATTTATAAAAATTTGGATGACTCTCCAGGCAGTTACAGTACACTGAGTAGAAAAAAACTCACATTCTACCTAATTCCACTAATATGTTCTTGAAATGATAAAGTTATAAAAGTAGAGGACTCAGTGGCTGCCTGAGGATAAGAAGTGAAGGCAGGAGGGAAGGAGATGTACCCATAAAAGGGCAACACAAGGACCCTGGGTCGGGGGTCCTTGCAGTGACGTAGCTGTTCAACATCTGGACCTTATCAATGTCAATGTTCTATTTTTGTTACTGTACAGTGTACTATTGGTTTGCAAGTGGTAACCACTGCGGAAAACAGTACTGGGTTTAGGTACAAAGGGTTCCTAAACATTACTTCTTACACCTGCACAGAAGTGCACAGTGACCTCACAGTTAGAAGTTTAATTAAAAAATACTTCCCTCCAGAAAGAATGTAGACCTCACACATTCTTCAAATGCATTCTTTTTATTTGAGAAGGACAATCTCAGTACAGTGCCCTTTGGGAAAGAGCTCTCCCACCATCATGTACATCACTATCAACCATTACTCTCAGCAAAGTACAAAAATATGCACATCAGTGGCTTCCATACAATAAATACATAATCATGCATCCCACAATAAAAGGCACCAAAAACTGGTCACTTAGTAGTCATAAAAATTACTAGCTACATTAACAAAGCCACCCAAATTATCTGTACAGGAAATGTAACAATATATTCCAAAGGCGAAAACACATAAAACATCTTTAAAATAGTATGCAATAAATATCTCAATTTTTGTATATATTTTAAAAATTATGCCATTGTAAACAACATGTAAACAAACAAAACTCATGTTGTCTTATCATTATTAAAATAATTAGAGCCAAAGTTATAACCTCTGGTCTGTCAGGTATATTTCACTGGCAAATGTGCTAAGCAGTTAAAAGTTTCACTCTTTTCTGCAGCAAACAGAGCCCACTGTGTAATAAATAAATAGGTAGTATCTGTATCTTTCAGATACAAGTACTTTAGTTTAAAACAGACTACCAAAATGTAGTAAATTCTCAGCTATAAATATGGCAAGGCTAAGTTAAAACTATCTTTTGCAGTTTAGGGAACAGAAGGAACTGTAGTGTTAGGTTTCCAGCAGGATAATAAAGAGGAGACAATTCCTGACTATCTTTATTAAAAGGTTAAATGAATGCATTGAACAGAAGGATAAAGTGTTCAGCTTTCTGAGCATCTTTCTGAGTGGACCTTTTACAAAGTTAACAGAGACATCAAATTAAGAAATTTGTTTTTCTAGAGAATATAGAAATGGTTGCTACTTTACAGTGATGAGAAACACTGACTTTAAAATATGCTTATCAGAGGGGCTGGGAATTTAGCTCAGTGGCACAGTGCCTGCCTGGCAAGCACAAAGTCGTGAGTTTGATTCCCGGTACTGGAAGAAAAAAAAATATGCTTATCAGGGCCAGGGATGTAGCTCAGTGGTGTAGAGCCTGCCTGGCAAGCCTGAGTCCTGAGTTCAATTCCTGGTACTGCCCCCCTGCCAAAAAAAAGCTATCAAAATGTGAATTCATAAAGTGTGGTTTTCCCCATACTTAATGATAGTAAAAGATAAGTATAGTTCTTTCTTCTCATAAAGGGATCCTATACCCTAACCATCAATAAATATTCATTTTGGGGGGGGGTACTGGGAATCGAACTCAGGACCTCACACTTGCCAGGCAGGTGCTGCACCACTGAGCTAAATTCCTGGCCCCATCAATAAATACTCAGAGAAGCTATTTTTTGTCTGAGAAGGTAATTTTGTAGCTTAAATATTTTTGTCTCATCTATGTACACAGAGCCTTACAGCACACAAATACCACGAGTCTACTTACTCTATGCTTAGATAAGCACACTATCTGTTAACTTTGTTACTCCCTACTCCCCATCAAGAGGTGAAAACACCAACCTTTAACCCCAACAACTTTAGACAGAGACTCCAAATCTACTAGAAAGCACTTCTTTATAACTCCTTTCCTCTCCTGTGGGTTTGCAATGTATTCTTTTCGTGTACTTTGGAGTACGTGTTGTTCTTTCACTTGGATCACATGTATCACCTCTAGTTGTGAAAATCACACTCTCTAGGACTGATGAAACACAGACTTCATAAGAAATGGTCAAAATTATTTGTGGCCAACACAAAATTACAAAAAATGTGGACACAAAAGTGGAATTACTCCTTTGTGACACACAACGTGGTTATCTGGGGGTGGGGCATGGAGGGAAGCGCTCCCTGAAATAAATTGAGGAAGTTTTTCTAAAAGTTCTAATTTCTTCAATAGACATAGAAAAATGATCACGAAGACAGACAAACTTGAGTCCTACCAGACAGGAACTATGCTTCCTTTATCTGTACCATGAGCAAGTCTAGAGAAGTGCCAAGTAGAGAGAAAGAAAGAGAATGTTTCACTTAATTAAATATATTTTGAATAATATTTAATTCTAGAAATTATTAGAGATTTGTGTGATAAAGGTTTTATAGACTCACAAAAGAAAAACAGGCTCACAGGTATTGGTTTTTAGCCTTTATATTCTGCAAATAAACCTTCTTATATTTATAATCATCATTAACTCTAAGTGACTTGAAATCACAAATCTAGGTCTGTCTGTATCTTAATGGTTGAATATTCCTTTAAAAATTTCCCCTTCACTATTGCTTTTTTTATTATTCTGAAAAGAACAAAAACAAATTAACAAAAACAAAGACAGAAACAAAACAACACAAAAACTATAAAAGCAATACACAATTTCAAAACAAGATGACAGGAAATCAACAATGGTTGTTGTATTTACTTATTGTTATCTTCAAAGCAGTTGCTCAGATTACCAGATCAAACAATTAAACATTAACTGTTCCTTTCAATAAACCAAGAGAAATTAGTCGTACAATTATCTTAGCTATTGTGTGTATGTATATGTGTATATATATATGTATATATATAAAGTTTCCCTTCCTTCTTTCTTTTCTCCTTTCCCTCATCCCAGTTGTTCTTTCCTTTTTTTTTGTTTTTTTCTTCGGTACCAGGAATAGAACTCACAACCTTGTGCTTGCCAGGCAGGTGCTGTGCCGCTGAGCTAAATCCCCGGGGCCTCCAGTTGTTCTTTCCTATTGAGCAGTTTCTTTCCCTTCCACAGTATCTATTGTACCTTTCAGATTTTATTTGCTCTTTCAGTTTCTTACACTAGGGAGACAATACAATGTTTACACATGTGGGTCTGATTTATTTCACTTATGAGTATGATCTCCAGTCGCATCCATTTACCTATAAAAGCCTCGAGTCTATCTTTCTTTATAGCGGAGTAGTACTCCATTGAATAAAAAGACCACACCTTTCTTATCCACTCCTCAGTTGCTTTTTTTTCTGGAGTCTTATTTTGTGTATGTAATCAACATATGTGTTTTGAAGACTATACACACTGAATATAAAACAAATATTCAGGGAACATTTATGCATTTTAAACAAGAATTGGTAGTTATGTGAAAAAATGTGACTTTGTTTTTAGAAATAAGAATTCACATCTGGTCAGTATTACTGATGTGCAGCAAACACAGGATTACGCGTCATAAAGCCAGGGCTCTCCCTGTGGTCTTTTGTTTGTCCAGAGCACATGCATGCTCATGAACGTACACTCAACACTTCGGATTTTTAGGGAGTTTTAAGCTTTTATTTGTCAAAGTATAAAATATAGAAAGAACAGAATTTTATTACCTTCATTCAGAAACATTGATCAAGATCCTATGATGTGCTAGCTAGACACTGGCCACAGACACGGAGGGACTCAGTGGGACAGGTAGGTGTGTGCCTGTGTGTGTCTGAAGATATGATGCTATTTTAGCATAAAATTTTTTTTTTTTTTTTTTTTTTGAGACAGGGTCTTGCTATGTAGTTCATGCTGCCTTTGAACTCACTATGGAGCCCAGGCTGATGAACTCACAGCAAACCCTTCTGCCTCAGCCTCCTGAGTGCTGGGATGGCAGGCATGTGCCACCATGCCCGGCTTACATAAAAACTTTCAACATACTATGGAGCATGGATGATATACCTGCCTACATATATCAGGTAGGGCTTCAGAGGAAATTAAATTTGAACTGAGTCTTAAATGAGTTGTTCTATGGCATGTGATTATGCCAAGGCACTACATCTTGGGCAGATTCAAATTCTTGGATTACAAAAGGTCAGTGGAAAGTAAGGTTCCTGAATGGTGAGGAGAGGCAAGGGTACAAAGATTCTTCCCCACTTTGCTAAAGAGTTAGTTTGCTACTCAATAAAGAAAAAAACGCCTACTTATATTTTTAACAAGGAGATGACAAGGGAAATTTGTGTGAGAGACATTAAAATTGGAAAGCTGTTTGCTGAAAAGCTATGGCCAAAGCATAAAAGAGAAGGGTTAAAGTCTGTTTTATGCCTAGACCAAGGTAATACAATTATCAGTTTATTTCAAGTAATTGACACAGAACATGACATGCCAATTCAGTTTTGGAAATGGTAAAAAATGAAAAATATGCAACTGCATACTGGGAAATTTTATATACATCTGAGAGACAAAATGCTTTTAAATTTGCACAATTCAAAACCAAGATTTTATTAAGCATTTGTTTTACTCCATTATCTTAGTTCATGTGTTTCGTGGCAGAACATAATTTATGTAATGTTGCATAAAAACTGTGTCACCTTTCAAAATCTTTCCAAGAAGAGAAAACGAAAGAACTATTCCAGTTTACAGCTTTCACCTTCATCATTACGTGTATTAAAACTTGGCTGTACAACTGAATTCTGTAAACAGGGAAGGTTCTAATAAAAGTGATAATTAATTTTAATTATTCTAAGGTCATCTGTATATCAGGTCATCATAGGAAGCAAATTCTCAAGCAAATAATTTCTTCCTGTCACTGTACCAAATCATTCTGGAATAATCATAAAGTTGTCCCATTAAAATAGGTCAAAATGCCACGCTGATGAATTCCAATTCAGTCTGTTTCCTTATGCCATACAACTTTGTACCTTTTTCTAATTCCAACATTTCAGAGGGGAAGGGACCCTACAGGAGCTCTGGATTATATTGTGCTACATTTCAAGGCTTAGCAAGTTCATGAAAATCCCTTTGATCTATATGGGACAGTATGATATACATTCACCAGAGTTCTTTTATTTTAAAGGAAACAGCTTTTTTCCTAAAGCTTCTGACTAGTTCTTCCTATAGCTATCACTAAACTGAGAAAGCACAGACAACTGCCCCATGTAATAAACACGTGTGTGGTACATCAAATGTCTTGAATGACTAAGTCAGCAGAGGTGTCTCCTTAACTGATTTCTAAATTTCAACAGCAAAATCAGCTCCCTGAATTCATTGCTTATTGTAATAAGATCTAGATAAATTCTCAGACTTTAGCATTGTACTCTTTTTCATTTTGTTTTGTGGTATTGTGCTTAACATATCTCATATGTGCTTTTTGTTTCTATAACATAAAATGAAAGATATCCAGTCCACACTCATGCTCTTTGTTTTCACATCCGCTAAAATGCCAACTCAAGCTTTTTTCCTGTAATTTCTACATGTTTCCATTTCTTTTCATTTTTTCCACCAATTGCTTGTGAAACAGTAAAATATAAAATTATTGTCAATTAATTATTAATCTAATATAATTCTTACGTAGCTCACATTTAGTCTAGTGGAAAATAGGGATTGTTCAAGTTTTTTGTTACATCACATTGCTTCATATTAAGTTGGAAGAACTTTTTTCCTTCCTTTATTCTGTGTGGTATGATATGCCATTATGTTTTAAATTTGTAGCCTTTCAAACACTTGAATTGAGAATATATTTAGAAATGACTCAAGACTCAATTAAAATCTCATTGCCTTATCTGACAGAAACAAATTAACCATTACCCATCCCAGTTACTATCTGTGTGCAGTAGCCCAGAGTAAAATGCAAATATATGTTGGAACCCAGAGCTGGAAGAGGTATGTGGTATTTTTAGGGATTCATGATTCTTAATTTTCATTTAAATGCCATATTAGCAGTACAATTATGGAAATTTTTGACATGAATTGAAGGTTCATCACAGGAAAAAAGTTACAAAGTGAAGACATACATTGGCAAAATGTATCACAATGACTTTCTTGGGTACATTAACTTCTTAATATTGGTGATTTCTTTTGGTTTTATGCTTTTTTGATATTTATTTTAGATATAAAAATCATTTTTCTTACAAAGTCCCTATAACTGCTCAGTTACCTATGCTAGTAAAAAGTATTTTTTTACAAGGAAAAAACAGGGCATCTGTTTGACAGAAATGAGTACTTCAAGTATATAAGTAAATCATTAACAGAACTATTACATTCTAGGCAACAAGAGTAAAAAGGAAAAGAGCCAGAATGCGCATTTTGTATAAAGATTAAATCTCACAATACAATAAATAAATGCACTCATTTATACAACTTGTGAAAACCTTCTAATGATTATAAGTAATACTGCCTATGGTTAACTATGCTGACATCAGCACTGCCTCACATAGAGAAGTGCAAAGGTAAAATTCTTGCTCATAAAGCCACAAAATATACAAAGCTTTTATATTTGTTTGTTATTAAACATTTTATCTGTCAAAATTTCTGCAAACTAAAATACAACTTGGAAGTCTGAATAGCCAGCATGATAATTATTTTGGTATAAAAAGATAAGAAACATTTTAATATGAAAATTAATAACACCAGAAAAGGAGAAACCTGTTTTATAAATAGACATGTTAACATAAAAGTGAGACTTTCATCTCTCAAGAGAAAGAAACAAATCTGATACTATTTACTGGAAGATTTGAAAATAATTATCATATTTTTCCAGCTTTAGATAAATATATTACTCCAATTTACTAGTCATCATCAATATACAACATATAACTCACAAAACAGGGAATGTTACAACAATAAAACTTTGCACAGCATTAGTTACCAGTTACCAGAACTGTAAGAAATTTTTATATATTAGCTTAATACTTAAAAGAGTACAGAAATAGATACGGCTAAGCTGTGTGAAATAGTAGTGCAATCAAACATCAAGGGCCACAAAATATATTCTTGTTTCTTTTTAGCTTGTACACCCAACTGCACTGTCCTACTTTAATAGCAGTATCAAATGAGTATTGTAATCCTTTATTTTAATGCATTTTAAAAGCCACTATGTTCTGTTAGGTTTGGTTATTTTATATTGAAATATAGTTACTACGAAATACCCAGACTATAAATTCCTATACAGAATAAATAACTTGTAGCTAAAGTTAAAATATTTTGTGTGGTGTTTTTAAGAGTTTTAAGTAGTGGCTTGGTTTGTATTTTCCAACTAAAACTTGGAAATAGATAAAAAAATTAGGAGTAGGTAAATAAATAAAACATCTTAGTAGCATAAAAGGAATTGTTCAACTATATTATATAATATGGAATTTATCCTAAACATTGCTACTGAGTTAATGTGGTCTCAGTTACTCTATTAAACTTCTTTTCCTGAAAATACCAGGAATAATTATACAAATAGGTACAGGCCAGCTGTCTCTTGATTTTTGTTCTCTTTAGTAATAAACTTTTGTAGTTTTTTTCCTTTCTCACATAAATGTCCCTAAACAAAACTTGGAAAAAATACAGAGAAAACAGTAACGAAGAAAAAATGGATGCTTTGCTTGTTTTAGAAACCAATAACATGACCTTGATACATACGGTTTGGGTTGCCTGTTCAGGAAGGCATTCTGCTGCAAAGGCATCACACTGCTGTTGTGACAGACATTGCCACGCAGTCAGTCAAGAGTTGCCACAGCAGAGACAAAAAGACCTGCGCGCGCAGTGGGGAGCGAGAGGAGGAGCGTGGAAACCAAGCAACGTGAACCCCAAGGGAAGCTAAGCACACTGGTCACACTTCCATTCCAAACATTCTCCTCTCTCTCTCTTCCTTGTGCTAGGGAGAACCTGGTGTTTTAAAATTGTCACTTGTATTACTCAACTGTAAACCCTATCCAACGTGTATCTGAAAGATGTGGATGAATTTGCCTTGGAAAGTGGTGAGACATCCTTGATGCCAAAGTTAAAAGATACTTTTAATTAAAAAATTCATAGCCTTAGAACACGACAATTCACTACACTGTTAGTCCAGTTACAGATAGTAGATGATTTACTTTACAAATGAGGTATAGAAGGAACTCCCATAATTTTCTTAGTGATACTTTATATGGACATTTCATTGTTAGGTTCCTATTAAAGTAGTCCTGGAAGTCTAAAATCTTTATTCATAAAAAACAACTACAGATTCTCTAGGCAGTTATGTTTGGATAAATCATATCAGTATGTAAAAATTATTAAGCGAAGGGTTCCTGACAATAACTCATTGCAAAAGCTCTTATTAATTGAAGAATTTAAAAAACTGCATTGGAGCCAACCACTGTTTTCAAGCACTATTTTAAGGAATTATTAACTATGTGAAATCAAGATAAGTTAGCATATGAAAAACATTCAAATCTAGCAAAACGTGCGTACTTGGAGGACTTCAGGGACATATTCACTTCACTTGTAATCAACTGGATCCCCCCCCCCTGCATGCCCAATGATCATTTGATGTGTGCGCTGCTATGTGTCCTCAAGCATGAACTATGTCAACGAGATAATCTACTGATAAGCGAAAATGAAAATGTACGAGTTGCAAGGGACTGACCAGTGTTTACTTATCTCAGTACACAGCCTTCTGAAATCTTCTGAACCAAAATCACGGAGAAGTGAATACGCTGCATGAACAACAGACAGAATGAATGTGGACTGTTAGTTGCTTAGAGCTGAGGGTGGGACTGGAGAGAGGCCTGCTGTGTCGGTCAGCCAATCCCCTGGAAACCACCCTAGCTACCGAAATAAGACTCCTGAGTAGGGAGGGCCCATCTAAAACTAGAATTAGGGGTAAAGATTGAGAAGAAAACTTCTGTGGTGATGAATGAGCTTCATCTTATTTCTAGGATTAGTGAGAGAACTGATAGAACAGTGCCCTGAGGAGCAAGCTCTTGCAGGGACCTCTGAAGACCTCAATTCCTAAGTCTAGTAAGGATAAAATGGATGTATGCCAGTGGTAATTGTCTAAGGAACCCTTTGAAAGCAGAGTTTTGACTCGATATTCCTGGAGCAGACCTGAGATTTTGCCTTTCTATAACCTCCCAGGTGATATTCATGTTGGTGGCCCATGGACTACCTCTTGTGTAGTGATGATATTCTAGATTTATGCTGTCCCATAGAAGTTTTGCAGTGGAGGCAATGTTCTGTATTTGTTGCCCTTTATAGCTGCTGTGGCAAGTGTAACTGAGAAATGAAATTGCTAGTTAAAGAGCCATAGGAGGCTGGTGGCTATGATATTACAGCAGAAACCTAGACATTCATGAGTTACTGCTTCTCAGCCAGAGAAATATATGTCACAATCTCCAAATGATCTAACCCATCAATTCACTTGGATTATCCAGCAATTATTCTTTTATAACATGCTCATATAAAGTTAATTTAAATGGTTTTCTTCCTAATGCTTAGCTCAAACACCCCTTTACGGTAGGAAGACACAAAGGGGGTCATTTTGTAGGTGGCAGTTGACGGGGAAAGGATAGGAGGGAGGGAGAATCTGAGCAGCTGTTGATTACTGCCCAGGGCATGTGGAAAGATAAAAAGGCAGGAAGCAGGAGAGACACTCAGAAAGGGAAATGGACAAACAATGAAGAGAAATATTGAGTACTCTGGAATTTTACTTAGGCAATGTACTTTTCCTTCTTAAAAAGCAAGATTTTTTTTTCCAGGAAAAAGAAAGTGAAAGGAAGTGGACTTTGGCTGTGATTCTCCAGCCTACATCCCAATCATCCAGGCCTGGGACAGCCTAAGGGAAGAAGAGATGGCAACTACAGCCACGATATGCAGCCCTGAGGCCTCATCTGCACACCCCAGGCTGATGTGATCCCAGGCAGGAGCAATTCCTACCTCAGGTTTCTGAACTCTATCTGGATAAGTGGATGACTTCCCCATGACACTGACAGGGGGCTAAGGGCACCATACTGGCAAACAAGTAGCAACAAGGCATCTGAGTCCTGCAATAACACATGCAGACAAAGCTCACAGAACAAACAGCTCTCACTTAACAACAAAAATACTCAAATTGTAATTTTAAATGATTTTTTTCATCCAAAAAGGCTATTTTAGAAAAATTCTAGCAAATTTAATTTTCATTAACTGAGACTTTAAAGAAGTTACCTAAGAGTAAAAAGATATCAAACAAACAAAAAATCCAACCATTTATATCACACTCTTAAATTCAGAAAACATGATAGTTTAAGAATCTTTTCTATTGGCACCTGGGTATGGGAAAGGCAAAAATCAATAAAGCTTTTCATATTAATAAATTCTTTATATTACAGTTCCTCCCCCGCTTACCCTGTGCTTTTCCTAAAGGCTGGACAGGGATCTGAAATCTCAGAAGAGCTCTGGAAATCTGGCACCTGGTATTTTGACTTTATAGGAAAGTACTCAGAACAGGACCACATGTTGGGTGGGGACTGTAAAAGGACTGGAAAAAGACTTTTGCCTTCACTGGTGTGGACAAAATTAAAGTTATTGAGTAGATCATTATCCTTTTAAACTACTTGATATAAACTGCCTTTAGCAAATTTCTTATTGTCTAGAACTTTAGTAAAATATAATAATCAAACCCAGTAGAAACCCAGTAGGTTCATTTGTTTTGTGCTGCTGAGGACTGAACCCAGGGCCTCAGGCATGCTAGCCAAGTGCTGTACCATTCAGCTACGTTCCTAGCCTTCATTTATTTTTAAGATATCTAAAATTTGTGATTTTTATTGGTAATTAAAGAGTCAAGCAATAAACTAGAATTAACTGTCAAATATATGTTTAACAATATTTCTCTTTAAACATTGGGCAAAATAATTATCTAGAAAATACTAGTGATGTTATTATGTCTCAATATCATATGTACATAAATGTGTCTATACATACACATGTATATGTGTATGTATGTGCATATACACATTTATGTGCATCTGTGTATCGAGCACCTACCAGGCTACAGAAAATTGTCATCACTTGGTCAGTACATTTTAAAATATTATAATTTCTTGGCATACAATGACTAAAGAAATCTTTAAGGATATTTTTGTGAATTTTTGATATGATACCTTTGGTTTTCAAATATTTGATCATTGTAATGTTGACTTTTAAGGAGCAATACTGCCACACAGTGGTTTAGAAAAAGGAAATAGCTTTTACCAGACAGAATATAAAAAATTACATAAAATAATAATAATAATAATAATACAAAGCCCTTTAGAAGAAATTTAAATTCCTTCTATTAGGAGGTTCATGTCAGAAATCACTGTAGCTACTGGGTAAGTTTCGGTGACCAATCAGTGTACAAACTTCAGCTGAGATCTTGGACAATACCTAGATGGCAACAGTCTATTTTAAAGTCAAACAGAATATAATAATTAAATTGAAATGAAAAAAAGAGGGATAAAATGTGGGAAATGTGGTTTGGAAAACTGAAGTACATTCTGTTATGTAAAAGAGCATGTAAGTTTATGAAAAAACCCACAGAATTTTCTTACTGTGCACACCTACAGTTTGTGATAGACTGAAATAAAACTGGCCACACAAGATGTATACAAGTTGTTGATTATGGCACAGACACTAGTTTACTGAGTCTTAGGGATATACACCTATCTGCAAAAATCCACATTAAAGAACAAAAAAGTGTACTGCCCTTAGCCAACAAAAAGGTACTTGGGAAGTAATAAATAAATTCCATTAAAACTGACATTAAAGATATAAAGTATTACAGTATTATATATGACATGCAAGAAAAGGAAAGACAATTCAGGCAGGAACACCGTGCAATAAGATTTGCATCATTTATAATATACGATGGGTTTGTTTAACCATATTCTTTGACCAGTGAGGGCTGGGAACCTGAGGTGATACCATTTAACACTGAAAACATAATTTAATTTTTATCTTGTCTCCTAACCAAAGATTTTAAAGAAGTCAGTGCCTCCAATAATGAAACTTAAGAAGTTTTATCCACATACTATGATGCGGTTGCACAGGAAGAACCTTCTGTAAGACCAGGTGTCAAAGGAAGTAAACAGCAATTCCACCTTTTAGACTTTGTAATAATTTCAGATTCCTATTTTTAAAAACTATTGTGAACACATTTAAACATATCAGGTTTGCACAATAAGAAAATGGCTTCATGGAATGTATTTCTGGCACAAAAATATTTTCTTCTACCTCAAATTAAAATTTTCACCCACAGAAAAATATTAAGCCACAGAGGTGCTTCAGTGGTGCTTACTTATCTACGCAGAAACCTACAAGAACAGCCAATTGCTTCCAAGAATTTTGTATTAAGTATCAATCACTTCTCTTCCAAGGAATAGCACCAATTTGATTACACCTCAGACTGGGGGGTGCTCCTTCCAAGCTCTTTAATTCCCTGGAGAATTCGCTTCATATGGCCCACTTTCGGTATCCCCAGGTCCTAAAAAAGAGAAAAAAAAAAAAAAGGAAAGAAGGAAGGAAAAAAGGTAAGAAAGAAAGAAGGAAGGGGGGAGACCAAAAAAAAAATTTATTAGTAAGAGAAAACACAGGATCAAATGTTTAACCAGCAAGTACACAGTTGGCGTTCAGTGCATCCATCTAAGTTTGTATTCAATGATTTAGGAAGTGATAGCTAGAAAAAAAAAAGTTAATAAAAATCACCTGACGCTGAAAAATTACCAACTTGTATGAAAAAATCCTACAGAAGCTCTGCTTAACTGTTAGTTTCATAAATTATATACAGTGGGGCAGTTCTTTAAGAGTCAAAACCACCATAGTTTCTCTTTTCTTTTTATATTGCAGAGCAAGCACTTGGCAAACACTTGTTGCAGAAGTGAAGACAACTCCGGCAAAACTGCCATAACACCCACTCTGCCACAATACCCAGTCTGAAACACTGCAAGAAAGAGTTACAGCCTCTAGACCCTACAATTAAAATGTAATAAGTAATCGGTTTGCTAATGTGAAAGGTCAAGCTCTTCACAAAACAATGTAAAAAATTTGAAAATTAGTAAATTAGTAGAAAATTAGTAAAATGACTTACAAAGCAATCTAATAGATTGTTTCTCAGAAAAAATATAAAGATTCCAAATACCCACCTGATTTTGTAATGTAAGAACAACTGTTTTGAAATTTTTAAATGAAATGGATCAGATTGGATTACGTCTTCTCTCTCTCTCTCTCTCTCTCTCTCTCTCTCTCTCTCTCTCTCCTATGCTTTTTTTTTGGTCTTTTTTGAGACAGGGTCTCGCTATGCAGTTCAGGCTGGTTTTGAGCTCACTTTGTAGCTCAGGCTGGTCTCGAACTTGCAATGATCCTCCTGCCTCACCCTCCTGAGTGCTGGGATTACAGGCGTACGCCACCATACTCAGCTCCCTATGCTTTATAAGCTCTTTAAATTCTACAAGCAACAATGCTACCTGATTCTGAATCCTTCTGGAAAATATTCTTTCCAAAGCCAGTGCTATTTTCAAGCCTTAGATAATTCCAGGGTAACATTTTTATATTTAACTGACCCAGAAAAGTATTTTCTCATATGATATAAAGACATCCAAAATTAACCCCAAAGCAACTACGTATCTTCTGCATATATGACAAATATCAAACTTAAAAGCAAGGCCAAGTCCTAGAGGAAGATATCAGTGCCTGTTGCCTAAATTTAGAATGTAAACACATTTACATTACACTTAGCTTCTTTTATTTGATTGGAATATTTAGGTAATCTTCATACTTTGTGATAACAGATATGTGTCTCCAAAAACTAAATATTTTAGTATTCTAATATTAAATATTTTACTTTAGGCCATAACACACTGTATTCTCTAGAATAAAAACTTCTCCAGAGGAGGCAAACTCTACTCAGAGTTACTATTTTAGTGTAACAAGATCAATGTTTTCCATAATGTAACAGAATTACATTAACTTCTTAGCTATATATGCTTTACTTTTGTTTCAGTTTAGTACTTTTATATCTTAAGGGTTAGGCTGTGATACAGTTATCTAACTTTCCTTTTATCCTGTGCACATGCTGTTTTTCACGTACTGCTGTGTACTTATCTTTACTGTGTTCTTAACTATTGGCTTTTTCTTTCTTTGGATGAAGAGACCTACTTTTGCCAAAGTGTATTTTATTTTGTAGACATTCAATTATCTTTCCAGCCACACATTACAACTTTCCAAACTGGAAAAAAACAAAAAGTAAAGAAACAAAAAAACCCCACCCTGTTTTAAACACTTTCTCTGGCAATTTCATTTTCCCTACTTCATTCCACTGGGGAAATGAGTACTACCCCTTTGTTTCTTCAAGAGTTGAAGCACATTACAAGTTGTCCCTTTCCACTCTAATCACACTGCCATCTCTAGCTGTTTCAGTGATAAGGAAGTAACACGTAAGCCAAGTTCTCAGCAAGAGTTAGCCAGGTGGACAGGGGGAGAAGCATAGCGAAAGAGGGCATACCTTTAGGGTGAGAAAACATATAGCTTTTCAAACAACTGAAATAAGGTCAAGGTGGATAGGGCATGACCCAGTGAGGGGCCAGAGACTCCCTGGGAGGTAACAGGTGGAACCTCAGAGACATGGGGAGCCCCTGAAATGTTTTAAGTGGTACACTTGATGGACGATGTTAACATACCATGGCAGCTGCAATGCGGATTGTGGACTGGAGAGACAATGGACAATGGACTGGAGGAGTGGAAGGGATGGGTAGGAGGTTACTGCCCGATGTGACATTCGTGTGGGATAGGCCTGGGGACAGGAGATGAGAGCAACGAATGGAGACCAAAATCAGCATGACTTGCTGCGAGGCTGGACAGGATGCAACAGGGGGGCAATGAATAAAGAAGAGAACAGTGCTGAACTCTGAGCTTCTTTGCTTCCAGCACCTGGAGGACCAGAGGTGGGAGGTACTAAAATGCAGAGCAGTGGAGTGGGATAGGAGATCAAGAGTATGCTTTTAGGCATGTTGAGATTATATCCCTGGGGCTGGGGATATAGCTCAGTGGCACAGCACCTGCCTGGCAAGCACAAGGTCTGGAGTTGGATTCCCGGTACCAACCCCCCAAAAAGAGATTATATCCATAAGTGCCATCCAAGTGTCAGAAGAGACGATTGGTACTTAAAAAAAAAAGAGAGAGAGAGAGAGAGACCATTGGTGATGTAATCCTGATTTCACAGATAAGGTCAGGCAGGCTGTTTCAATTGTCTCCCCAAAGCTCCACTGTGTTGAAGGTTTGGTTGCCAGCTGCTGGAGTCTGGGGAGCTAAAGGGATCAAGAAGGCTCTAACTTCTTCAAATAGATCAATCGATTGATGAGTTCATACCTCAAAGGGCTTATGAGAACGTGGAGTCAACTGGATGCGGCAGGTCACTTGGGACACACCTTTGAAGGCTGCATCTTGTTCCTGGCGCCTTCCTCTCAGACTCTCTCTCTCTCTGATTCCTGGCTGTTTCCAGGTGAGCACTCTGCCCCACCCTGCCCTTCTGCCAAGATGTTCTGCTGCACTGGAGGCCCACAGTAGTGGAAGCCGCTGACCACAGACTGAAACCTCCATAACTGTGAGCCAAAATACGTCTTCCCTACTTTAAATTGTCAGGTATTCTCACTAGTTACAAGCTAACTGACACAATGGTTCTGTGCTACATGAAGCTTTTCCTGTAAAATATCTTTTTTCCTCCCCTTCATATCCTGTTTTAGAACCAAAATAGTTAAAGTTAAAAACAAAATGTCAATAAAGATGTCTAAAATAAAAGTTTTAAGGGAAGAAAATACTTTGCATTAAAAACAAAATAGAACAATAATAAAAAACTAGTAAGAAAGTTTACTAAAGTAATTCTTAACCACCACCTTTCTACTCTTATTCTTTCTTGTTTGTTTTTTGAGACAGGGTCTCGCTATAGTGGTTCCAGCTGGCCTTGACCTTGCAGTGATCCTCCAGCCCCAGCCTCCTGCGTGCAGGGATTTCAGTGTGCACCACCACACCCGGTTTCTTATTCTGTCTTCAACATGGTTCCTATTACTCTAACTTTGCCTCAGTTTATGTATGTGCCTTATCATTACGCAAATACCCATAGTGCTACCTTGGTTCATGAATGCTTTTGTTTACAACCAATTTGGTTTGCAAACAGAAGCATTTGACAAAATTTTGGGTTTGTTTGCCAATTCTGCATTGAGTGACAAACATGACCATGGCCATCTTGCCCACACGAACATGAATGTGGCCATCTTTCCAGAATTGTAGAATGAATTATTCATGAACCAAGGTACCACTGTATTTGCTTAGTGTGTGTGCATGTGTATGTGTTTATCTGTGTTTATATGGTGGTATGGATTTATACAACACATATATGTATTTATATAACACACATAAATATATATGTGTATGCTTTACACAGTGTTTTTCTTGAACATATGCTTATTTCATGGACAATGAGATACAAGCCTCTAGAAGGCAGACATCACCTAGAGAAGCTGGCATAATACTGTAAATTAACCAGCATTAATGTGTAAGTATTACATCCTGCCAATGGTATGAGAAGTTACATTAATATTTGGCTGTACGAGCCCCTACATTTACTTTCAAGTTTCTAAGTCAACCTTTGCTTTATGGACTTTACTTTTCTCTGCTCCAGAATTAAGATTCTCAATTATGGTAATGAAATAGTTATTATTTTATTATTATTATTCTGGCTAAAGATTCTTAATATGTAAGTGGTGTTCACCCCTTCAAGTGCTAAAACACTGATTATTTAAAGATCTATACATTACTACCTGATCCCTCATCTCTTCAAAGATCTCCACTAACTTGTAGATGAAGGCATAATTATCTGTGAATATATAAGGAATTCACTGTCATAATTCTCTGCATTCAAAACTTGGTCTATAGGAAAGGGATCACTTCAAGAGCATTAACTTATTATAGTTTTAAAATGTTAGCGTGTGGTAAGTACTTGTAACCTGGTAAAATTCTATTTTTAACCTCTGCAACAGAATAAGGTGCTTTGGCTGTTTCTACTACTGAGTCTCCACACAAAGAATAAAAGAGCATTGCCGAAGACCACTAACTAAGATTTTCTCACTTGGGAGGCTGAGGCAGGAGGATTGCTGTGAGCTCGAGACCAGCCTGGGCTACAGAGTGAGCTCAAGGCCAGCCTGAACTGCAGAGCAAGACCCTGTCTCAAAAAAAAAGAAAAAAAAACGGGGGCTGGGGATTTAGCTCAGCGGCAAAGCGCCTGCCTGGCAAGCGCAAGGTCGTGAGTTCGGTTCCCGGTACCAGAGAAAAACCAAAAAAGATTTCTTTCTGTATCATGAATGACAAACAAGCCTTCAGCTGCTTAAGTAATAAATTTATTTTTGAGAATAATAGAATATTATTACCCTGTCATGGAAAGGAAATTTGAATTTCTTAGTCTAGTTGTTTGTATAACCCATGACAGGCCAGTTTAGAAACACACAGAATCATAGAACTACAGACAGCTACTGCTTATAGGTATCTCCCCTAGTTCCATATAATAGCCTTCTCCCTGAGCTACATGTCTAGCACTTTTAAAATTTTTTATTTTAAGACAAGGCCTCATTAAATCACTAAATTGCCCTGGCTGGGCTTTAACTTGGGAGTCTCCTGCCTCAGCCTCCTCTGCAGAGTGTTGGGATTATAGGTATGTACCACCACACCTACCTAGCAAGGCTGTGTTATAGGTATGTTAAATTGTTTTTTAGTTTTAATTTATATTAGTTTTTTTAGTCTTTGCCAGCAAGAACTGCAAACTTTCCATGCTGATCCAACAAAATAAACTGATAGAAACAGGATCCACGTGGAAGGATTAGCACAGGGACAGTCACAACAATGGATGCAGAGAAAATTCACTAACTTCATGCTGCACTGTAGCATAACAGCCAGAAACTGACTTTGACAGAAAAATATTGTTGACATTCATGTTTAGAAAGCACATAAGGAACTCAGATTCTAGGGCAATGAATATTAGATTATTGCAAATTTGCGTAACACAAGCCAGGCTGAAAGCACATAATAAAAGAGACACAACACAGGAAAAAGGATTCTGTTTTGCAAGAAAATTTTCAAGAGCAGAAGAGTAGCACAAAGGAAATACCTTAAGATCTCGCCTTTCCAGCTGCAAAAGTTCAGCCCCTCTGATGTCATGACGGATGAAGGTTTCTTTGTACTCTCCCAAATTGAGCAGATCCAGCCAAGCAGCAACTTCCTCTGTGCCCCATTTCTGAACTACCAAAGTTAAGAGCAAAACCCCCTTAATTTCTACGTGCTCAATGCATTACAAAGCAAAGGTTGGCCAAGAAGATGCAAACAGAGTGCAGCAGCAGTGCCAGCAGAGGAAAGGTCAAAGGTAGTTCAATGAAATTACAGTTCCTTTTTTTCCCATGCAGTTACCAATCCACACAGAGATCTGACCATACAAAGACACTGACGAGCGTGCACCCATGCCTTTAGTTTTTGTCCAAGTCCTCATTAAAACTATCCAGATTACACAATATACATAAAAAAATTATTTTGCACCATTAAGATCAGTAGTGCAAGTGTTAAGTGCTGATTTAAGTTTTTCTGAATAAAAACTGTTACTGTAAAAAATGAACTACAAATGCTAATTAAAAAAATTAAAATCTAAAATAGGGCACTCAATTTTCTACACACTTCCTGTCTAAGGCCTTGCTGACTTCAAGTGTTACTTTTATTGATTCTACTGCTATTAATGATTGCAGCGATAACTGGGCTATGAAATTAAAGTCATTTAAAAACTGTCAGTACCGATCTCTTAGACTAGTGGCGGCGAATGTGGGTTACGGTTTTTTCTTTTAAGACAAAAGATGTTAATGTAGAGTTGTTTTTTCCTAAACTAAAACTTCGGTATTCAGGTTTAATAGCAGTGATGGCACTTTTGTGATAAGTGAGTGAGTTTTGGGTTGCAGTTTGGCACTTGGTCTCTGAAAGGGTCGCCTTCACAGTGTATAATCATTCTCTTACACTTTATTCAACACTGCTTAGCTTAGTTAAACCTAGTTATTTATTGCCATTTGGCTTCTTACATGCCCTCATTAGCTGCTCTATAAATATCACAAATAAGAATTTACATCTATTTTTAAAAATACTGACACAACTCAGAACTTAGAAAATTCTTACAATTGCAGAATTTATAAAATGATGTGATTACGAAAGGCCGCTCTTGCAGAACTGAAAAAGGAGCCTCAGCACTAGGATAGCAGTAAATTAACCTCTAAAGGAAGGAGAAAAGGGAAGTAGAAAAATAGCACCATCCACAGGCTTTAATTTTTGCTTGACAATGCCAGTGTCACAGCAGACGGTCACTATGGGGTGTGTGAGAACTAATGTCTTTAACTCAGGAGATCACGTTTTTAAGAGAAGGTGAATACATAATTTAAGTGGAAAATAAATTTACCAAGTTAAGGGGGTAAGTGAAAGTGTCTATGTTCCACTTATCAAAATGATCTCAAGCTTGATTTTGGAGAAGAAAACAATCAAGTTCCTCCTAACATTCTGACATATTAGGTGGGTACTGTCCAGTCCGTGATGTTTAGTATGTTCCTAACCTTGGGCAGTGCTCAGCGCGCACGCTTGAGGTCCAGAACATTTGCATCAGCCCACTTTCACATCACTTCTGTGCTCCTTTTCCCCTCCGTGCACACTACCTACCAGGCTGTGAACTTGTCTTTGGCTTCTGTGCCTTTTCCTTTTTAAACTTTGGCACTATGCGAAATACTGTGCTTCTGTTGTTTCTTTTTGTGCAGTCCATAGGAGGCTCCTGTTTAAATCGAGTAGAGAGATTTGCTTTAGGATATTAAGAGAAGAAAACCCCAGTCTGTGAATAGAGGTAAATGGGAACAGGCTGTGAACACTACACACTGCAACAGTGCTTTTTCAAAAAGGCTCGTGATGCACTGTGTTACTGGAAATGTACCGATTTCCACAAAGTGCCTAGGTAAGTGCCTAGGTTTACAGAAATGCCTTTCCCCCCTTACTTAAGAACAGTATATTTGAAAGTAGTTTTCAAAATTTATTTTTCCTAGAAGTTTCTTTTTCAAGGGTAAGTTCTATATTCATAAGGAAATAGACTGAACTTTACATACCTCATTCTCATTGGGGTGTAAGATGTAATAAAGCCAGGGGATCTCTCTTAATTTCTGTAACTCCACCTCCACAGAGTGTAAGGCACTGGAGACTCGCTCTTCGTGTGGAGATTCCAGCTGCTGTTTACCAGCAAATTACAAAGGAAAACAAAAGACTCAGTGACAACTTCAAATAGAACAACTTTTATTTTGATGGTCAATATCCTTACTTATTAGGTTAATTTGTTTTAAATAAAAGTGTTTTAAAAGAACAAATTCTTTTATATTTTAATTTTTAAATATTCTAATTCTTACTTCACGAAGATGATGTTCATAACTAGTGTGACAAATAATTTCACAGAAAATATGACTTGTGGCGTCCCTTCCAAGTAAACAGCTTCCTGTCTCCCCTCTCGCCTCTCCCCTCTTTCCTTTTCTCCTTCCTTCTGCGCATTCATACCCAGCGGAGCTATCACTGTTCAATTTATGTGTGCCGAAAATCCTTTTGATTTACAAGAGCCACTACATGAAGAAATAGTATTTTTTAAATTAGCCAAAAACTTGAAGAGCTTCTGAAAAATTAAATAATTTTAGGGGAAAAAAAACTCAGAAAAATTTGCAATAAAAATTACTATAAAAATCAAAGCAAAGTAAAATGTGGTTAACAAGCTGGACTAGAGCTTGGGTACTTTCAAGAGAATTTAACCGATCACCTGGAATGCACAGCAGCTCATTCAAAGAAGTTATTCACATGTAATTACAAGGTGAATAAATGACTACGCTGATGTAAACCCTGTACGCCCAGAGCTGGAAGGCAGCCAACTAGACATCAGTCCTGCCTTGTTACTAACTGCAAGCGGAGAGAACGCTAGCTGGTTTCAGGAGTCTCACCTTCCTGTTCCAGAAGCAGCACAATATGACTGTATCACCTCTGAGGTCTCTTCCAGCTAACTTACACTTTTATAAATTACTTTAAAACAGTAGAGAACCCATACAGATGGGCATAGATTTTAGAACTGAAATTCAGAAAGAATATTACCATTATTTATTATGATTTTTCTGTATCCCCTTGTTACTCAAGGTATCTACTTTCTCTAGTAGTTAAAAATATGGAGATATTACACCCTATTGTATAACATTTACCACTTTCTTTTTTGTCTAAGAATATATGCTTTACAACATTGATAACATGTTTATTATATACTCATTCTACAATTTACTTCTTATAAGGAATAAACTAGTTTTAAAATATAATTAACTACTGCGATACTGTTGTCAAAGGGTTCGGTAATATTCACTGGAATACATTTTAAACCAAAATCCATGTTTGTCAATAACAGCTGTGTGTGTGTGTGTGTGTGTGTGTGTGTGTGTGAGTGGTGGGCATTCCTTCCATTTCAACACAATGCAGTTGAAAATGTTAACAAAGAGTAGCTACAAGGAAGAAGAGTTAATGCCTTAGATCTCCACACAGCAATAGCATGTGTGAATATCCCAAATCTAACGCTAGGTGGTAACAGAATTCAAATGCTAGAACACTTGAGAATGATGAGGAACAGTATTTTTTTAAAGAACCGCTGACTTGGGCTAGCATTCATGCTTGAGGTCCCTGGACTACGGTCAGACGCAGACTTGCCTAAACTTGACTTCAAGGATTAAACAGTTCTTGAAACACTGCATCTACAAAGTGTCTTTCCATTCGCAAATCTGCAGCACCATACCAATCACATTTCAAATGTTAATCCCAGGAACAAAGCCCATGACTTCTGCTATTTTTGAGCAATACTGAATACCCAAGGAATGTCAACTACATTTTATAAAGCTCAAGACTCTGAAAGCCAATTGGGGAGATCAGGACGACATAAACATGTGAGGGCATCTATGAGGAGAAATTCTCTACTCCTCTTCTTGAACTATGTAGTCCAGAATGGCCTCGAACTTGTGGTGATCCTTCTGCCTCAGCTTCCCTAGTTCTTCGATTACAAACATGAGACAGGCATTTTAGCTTGAATCTTTTATCTTTGAGCACTTTTTATTTTATTTATTATTATTATTATTATTGTCTTTTTTTGAGACAGTTTCACTATGCAGTTCAGGCTGGTCTCAAACTCGCAGTGATCCTCCTGCCTCAGCCTCCCGAGTGCTGGGATTACAGGTGTGCGCCACCACACCTGGCTTTAGTTTCTATTTTAACTCCCAAGTTTAGCCATGTAATTCTGGAAGGCAAAAGACTGGCAAAACAGGAAGATCCAAGGAGCAGGCCAGAAAGCAGGTTCTGCCTCTGGAGCTGTCAAAGGCAGGTCCCCTGATGCAGGTAAAATCCATAAATTTATTTCATCATTCTTATGTTATCAGTCACTTTTCCTTACCAAAGGAACCTTTCCCACTAGCAAAGATTCTGTTTCATTATATAGCGCCTTCACATTGATGGCTATTTCCGTAGCAGTATCTCTTGTGAGACTCTAGGAAAGAATATCAAAGAAACATAATTTTGTATTACACTGAAATTCCACTATTAGTAGATACTTTAAATTGTACTCATATTTCAAATTCACATTATAAATAACTCCTAAAAATCTACCAAAATTCTAGAATTGCAAAATTTCATGTTTCTCCTAGTTAATGTATCACAAAATCAAAAGAATGCACTTACTACAGTGAACAGAATCAGGATCACATCTTCCACCTACAAATAACATGCTGGCACCAACCTATGCATATTTCCATTAAGAAGTTAAACCAAAGAAAATTATGTCTTGAAGGGGCATCATCTGATTATACAGACTCCTGAACAACCTGGGTTTGAACCACCAGGAATCTACTTATATGCAGACTTTTGCATTGCATATATGAGAGCATCTGAAAAAACTTGCAGATGAACCGCATAGCCCAGAAATATTAAAAAAAATCCAGAAAAGGTAGATATGAAGCTAGAAATATATGTAGGTAATAACAGTCCATCTTATTTATGACCATAAAATATATTATAAAAATTTTAAATTTATCAAAACACACAATACAAACCTTACAAAGTACCATTTCTAGTCAAAAGAAATGTAAACAGAAAGATGTCACATGAAGTCATAACTGCATGAAACTAACTGTAGTGATACTATACTACTGTCATAATTTGAAGCCACTTCTGTTGCTATTGCAATGAACTCAGGTGTTGAGAGTGTCTGCTTAAAATGCAGGTGATGCTAATCATCTTTACCTGAGCAGCTAATCTCTCCTGTAAATTAGGTTTTCTAGTAAAAAGTGATTTCTCATGATTCTTGCATATTTTTACTATATGTGATACCTGCAACATGTAAAATACGTGTTGATTGACTTTTTGTGTTATCAGTCCACAGCAGCTGATAGTAGTTAAATTTTAAGGGAATCAAAGATTACTCAAGTATTGTGTGGGGTTGGTGTCCTTAACCCCCATGTTATTCAAGGGTCAACTGGAGTTAGCTCTATCTCAGTAGTGCCAATCAAATTGCTTTTTATACTTGTTCTTGACAACCAGCATTTACTTGAATACTCATTTAGGCAAATTCAACTGAATAAGTAAAGAAATAAAATAATGATATCAGTTTTTTTTACACCATACCATTGTACTATCTTTCATATTTCAAGTAGTCTATCCACTCTATTATGTTCTACACCAAAATGTATTACCAAAATATTTATGTATTTTAAAATTTTTATTGGCACATATTTGCAGAAATAATGATTACATTCATTACAGAGAGTTGGTATACGTACATAACACATCTTAATTTGTTTTGTCCCCTTCCCAGAAATACTCACAATTTAGTAAAACCAAACGAAATACACAGTGTGAGTGTACAACTTCAAAAATGAGCAAACATCGCTAATAAAATAAACACTGATGCTTTCTAGGTTTGCCCTTTACACTAAAGTGCAGGCGGGGGAGAAAAAGAAAGAGTAAGAAAAGATGGCCACAATTAAAAGGAGAGGCCATGGGGTTTGGGGAGGCACAAGGCACTGCATTTGGTCCTCAGCAAAGTGAAATTAAAAAGAAATGGAAAGAATTTACAAGCAGGAATCAAAACATGGCAGGAAAAGGAAAACAAAAATTTGGCCACAAATATACCAGGAGTTCTCACAGACACACATGCAGTACACATGGTGCTCATCTGCACAGCATATTTTACCGTTTCAAATACATGTGTCATACTAAAAGAATCTGTGGAATGGGAATTTACCATGCGACCCTCACCTCCGGGCACCACGGGTTGGCTTTGTTCAGTGCGTGAGAGCATGCATTCACAGCATGCGCCAGCTCTTGCTCCAGGAGACAATGAATTGTGGCTGCTTCACAAATCCTAAAAGCAAAAATGACATAAATGATCAAAATAATTTTTGGAGCACTGCTAATAATTTTATGGGGGAGGAGAGTGTTGAAGTAGGATAAAATTAGGAACTATGAAATCAGCAAACAGAGAAATCATGTGAGTGGCACTCAACTATGGATTCCACAGGGTAACCTCAAAATTTATTGCCAGACGGGTAGTATACTAAAAAAACGTATACATACATATATAGTGAGGCTTATAATTAGACAAACATTTCTAATGTACTTTTAACAAAATATAGTACTACTTCGTTTTGCCCTGTAATTGGAAAGTGAGGAAGGTCATCAATGTAGAGTAGAAACTTATGCTTCATTCATTGAAATTTCAAATACATTACAGGAAATGCATTACCATATTTACCATCTATATGTTAAGTGTTTTATACACATTAATTCTCACGATCTTATAAAGCTATGACTCATTTTCCCCCATTTAGATGAAGACACTTAGTCTCAGAGAGATTACGACCATATACAGAGCTTGTAAGTGGTAAAACCACGATCTACATCCATCCCACTCCAAAGCTGTTCTGCCACACTCCTCTAGCACTCAAAACTCTAAGAATAGTTCTGGAAAGACAAAATCTGGTAGGTACTAAGACCAAAGAAGAGAACAGAGGAAAAGTTCCACCAACGGCTAGGAAGTGATGTAAGTCTTGCACAAGTAGAAAAGCAAGGTGAGTCAAATACCTCTAGCTTCTGACATCTTCAAGGAGAAGGACCTTCACTCTAGAAAGGACAGAGCAAGAAAAGGGACAGGAGCCCTACATACCTGAATCAAGAGTGATGAAAAATAGTGTAATTCTTAAGCACTATATTCCAAAGCACAAAGAAACAATGCAAATGAACCTCAACATTATTAACAATGATCCTGAGAAACTGGAGAACCTATCAGGAGAACAGAGGTAGGTAAATGGTAGTCTAATTTTCAAAGAATGAGAAAAGTACATCAACTTTAGACCAATATTTCTAACTGCCAACTGCACTTGTCTCCTGGATATTTGTAATGTAATTTAAAGTTCTTCAGTCCAACATGGAACCCATCATTATTTTCCCTTTCCAATCTGCTTATTTACCTGCCAGGCATATGATTTACCTCTACAGTATCACTTACTTCTTACAATAAAGTAGTTCTTATTATTCCCTCTTTGGTAGGTAAGACTCAGGTGAGAAGTTAAGAGACTTGCCCCTGGTATCTTCTCCTCTTGCAAAGTTTATTTCTGGCTGGAGTGATCTTTACCAGTTTCACACTCATGGAACCCATCTTCTTTTCTTCCTTTTCTGTCCAGTGAAATTAGTTTACGAGTGGTCTCTAAATCTGTTACGCTTGTCAGAAACTAATTCTAGGACTTCTGATTCTCTTTGGGAACAGGGTTCATATTTAGACTTCTCTCTACATAAACATTCACTAATAATTATAAAGCAATATGTTAAATGGATATGTAGTGTAAATATCATGCATAAAACAGGAAATCATAATGGAAAGAGTACTGTGTGGCACAGAGAAATTGAAGTGTTTCTAGAAGTGTAAAATCTGGTCTGTGGAGAGCACAGGGTGTTCAGACTGAAGAACCTGATGAAGGGTTCCTAGTAAAGGAGGACAGCAATCATTTCGGTACAAGTGAGGCAACAAGCACACCCCTTTTCTTTTTTTTTTTTGGATTTTTTCTGGTACCGGGAATTGAACTCATGACCTTGCGCTTGCCAGGCAGGCGCTGTGCCGCTGAGCTAAATCCCCAGCCCCGTACACCCCTTTTCGATACCACACACAGCTGGAACAACACATTAGAACTGAATCAAAACCAAAACTGGCCGAGAACAGAGTTCTCATGGTCCATAAAGCCCGCAGCACCACACACCTGGTAATCAGCTCCTCTGCAGCCTGGGAGCACAGCTGCATCTGCGACACCTCCTCTGTGGCCAGGTCAACAGCATGCTGGATGTACAAATGGGTTCGAAGAACTTGCTTGCCAGAGTCACACTTCTGTTTATCTTCCCAAGATTTCAGAGTGCTCTCGAAGGCCTGTTTAAAAACAACAGTGCAATAAATGGTGACTGGGGAACTCTGAGACCCAGGCAAATATATATTTAGATACTGTATGAGTCTTGAAACTATGATCGCTTTTTCTCTAATTTAACATGTCATTAAATATATCACAAGTTGGGGCCAGTGATACCGCTCAGCGGCACAGCTCCTGCCTGGCAAGCACAAGGTCCTGAGTTCAATTCCTGGTACCAAAAACAAAACAAAACAAAATCCCAAGAATTAGAACAGACATTTTAAACCAGGCATGGTGATGCATGCCTGTAAACCCAGTACTTTGGGAGGCTAATGCAGAAAGATCTCAAGTTTGAGACTACCCTGGGCAACTCACTTGTCTCAAAATAAAAAATACATAAAGGGCTGGAGATGTAGCTTAATAAGAATTCTCTGAGTAGTTCAATCTCTCAGTACAAAAAAAATTGTTTAAAAATACAAAAAAAAATTTCCCATATTGCAGCAAATAAAGAGAAACAGAGTTAAAAAGACTTTATGTTTTAATTTCTTTTACTATTTTAGTGGGTAGTATGAATATTGCCAGTCTTATTAAAGGTTGACCTTAATCAAAAATGCATGTTCTGAGAAAGACAGTTATGGAGGTAATGAAAAGATCAGTGACTGCCAGGAAAGGTGAGTTTCTGAAGCAGGGCAAACCTGACAAGTGAGGCTATTCCACATGACATTGTAATGTGCCTGGGTGATTACATATGCCAAACCCACAGGCATACCACACAAAGTGTAGTACTAACTATGACTTTAGTTAATAATAGTAACGTATTAAAGTTGGTCCATCATGGTAAGAAATGTGTCACCGTAGTGCAAAACGCTAGCAATGGGGATCCAAGTGTGCAGCAGGTGGGAGGAAGGAGGTATGCAGGAGTATTACCATTCTCTGTACTTTCTACTCCATACTTTCGTAAACTTAACTGTTTTTAAAAACATTTAACACAAAACTGAATAAATGTTTGATCATATTTAAAATCACAATGATCTAAATGTCAGATCTAAGAGACAATTTAAATCTTCTCTCTTGCTTTCTATTTTTAATACTTTAAGATACTTTAAGAAACAGCTTGACAAAATCGTTGAAGATTGGCTACGTACTCGGTCCCTTGTCAGCATCTGAGCTCTGTTTTTGTGCACAATTTTGACAATTCCCGGAGGCTGAACCCAGGCTTCACCGTCCACCTGCACTGGGACCCCCTCATCGCCAAATATAGTGATCTTTACTGTACGACACTGCAATAAAACAAACACGTTATTTCAGAATACAAATTATCCTGAAGAATGGACACAATCAATCTCTGGGTTAGGCTTAGTTTTTAGTCCATTCTGTGGGGTAGAACTCCTATGCTTTACTACTTGTAATGACACAGTAACAAGCGACATTACAAGAAAGTCAGTCTTTTACAAAAGCATACTCAGGGTAGGCATCACGTGGAAGAGCTTCCCTCAGCCTGCCATGGCCCAAGAAGTGAAGTCAGATTTGATCAGAGAAACCAACCTGGGCTATTCGATGGTGCTGCAGTTTGATGACCCTTGACACTGCCATTTGCATGCTATCAAATATTGCAACAACCTCCAGGATTTTGTCATCAAATGATGGCGCAGCAAATATCTGAAAGGAAAAACTGCATTACATTTTCACTGGAAGTCTGGGTAAAGTGGCACATTAAGTAATGTTAACCCCAGTATATATACCAGGATTTTGTGTATGCTAGGCAAATATTTTACCACTGAGCTACATCCCCAGAAGCCATATAATGATAAAACCATTAGCAAAAAAACAAGTATTAGAAAAATAATAATCAAAAAGAATCATTGACAGTGGCTTAAAATAAACATAATTTTTAAAGAGTTTTAATAGCCACATGGATATAATAATCTCTCATAAAGCACTTTTTGGACTAATACATTTCTAAATGATGTATCTTGGCATAAATGAGTTAAACATCCATCATACATATGCAGATGTCTTGATAAGATGATACACGTCATTTTTAGAAATCTAAAACTCCTACTAAAGGTGATATAATTTCATAAGGTTCAAGTTAATAAACACGTAAATTATGATCCAGTTCACTTGGTATGTTCTAACAGATGTATTGTATATATACCTTATATTTTAATATAATAACTTTTTAGGGCATTAAAGTATAAAAACAAACTATAAAAATCATCTGGACTTTATTTGCCTTTATGTTAGATGCATTTTCACAAATTAATTTACTCTAAAAATTAAATTTAGGTTATATAATTTATTCTTTTCGCTTTCCCTTTTACTATATCATAAATAATTACTGCTCTGAGAAAATATTTAATAAAAGTAGTAGGCTAATTAAAATCTTCACTGAAAATATCAGGATACAAATTTACCAACACTAATCATTTCTCATAATTTTTGCTATCAGAGTGCCTATTTTTAAATCCTCTCTGCTACTTACTAAAAGTAGAAACTTTGCCTCCATTTTTTGCAGTGATCAAGTTTAGATCAGAAGTCAGATATTGGTCTGGGGATGCAGCTCAGTGGGAGAGCACTTTCCCAGCATTTTCAAGGCCCTGGGTTCAATCCCAGTACTGCAAAAAAGTGTGTATTATTGCAAATAGGAAGTTCTTAAACACTATTTAACTGCCTAGTAGGTGTTCAAGGAATGTCAGCTTTCTTTATTTTAATCTCATTGATTTCTGCCCTTCAAAATATTTAAGAGTGGTGACAAGCTGGCAAAAAATGTTGACTGTTAGTCTAGAACTATATCTCAGTAGAACTGAAATATATGTATATCATAAACATTAAAAATACACTGTAATTTATTTTATATGTAATCCCTGTAAGTTCATTTAAGAGCCACCCCAAATAGGTCAATAGAAACAAAAATAGCCCTAAACCTCTCTGGCTAAATATAACTTCTTAATGTTTCCAAAATTAAAAATAATAGTTACATACATATGAGCTTAGAAAATTAAAAATACTGAATGTTATTGTGGTGATGCCTTCAACCCCACTCTAAAAATGGACACATGACAATGGTACCTAACACTGCAAAAGGAACTTTGCAGTTGTGATTAAATTAAGGACCTGGAGGTGGGGAGCTTATCCCGAATGCTCTGGGTGGACACAGCGTAGTCATAAGCTTACTGAGTCAAGAAGAAGGAGGCACAAGAGGAGACCAGAGCAATACAGGACCAGTCTTCAACCTGCCTTGGCTGAGTTCGGCAATGGAGGAAGGAATATGAGCAACCTCTAAAACCTGGGAAGAGCAGGAAGCAGATTCTCACTGAGAGCCTCCAGAAGGAACAGAATCCAGCTGATTCCTTCAGTTTTAGCTCAAGGAGACTGTGGTAGACTTCTACTACGCAAAACTGTAAGATGATGCATGTATGTTGTTAAATTTGTGTTAATTTCTTACAGCAGCAGGATAATAATACTAGGCATGCTATTAAAAAGTTTCCCCTTTTTATCTCCTAAGTTTACTTTCCCAATGTACATTTGTTTTTGTTTATCCAGGATATTATCACCTAAATCCCAGGATAAGAAATTTTAGAGTACGTACATGAAGGAGTGTTCAAATAAAATTTTAAATCTATTCTACCCTTCACCTGCCCAATGTATTCTGACTTAAAACGAACATTAAAAAGCACATTTAAAAAAGAAAGTATTCCAGTAGTACAACTTGTTTGTTGAGGAAACAAACCGTCACTCCCATTATGCTACTTACATCATCTTCTTTGGTTCCACCCCAGAAGTTAGTGCCTCCGGCATAACTAGGGATGTTCAACACTGCTATGCCTTGAAGACTAGGGAGAGGAATATACTGCCCATCACACTGCAAGACACAAAGCTCAGAGGTTAGACAAAAAAGAAGAGGCACTAGTCTGAAAGATATTAAATACCCAAGAAAAAGAGTTGGGGAGCAGAGTGTGTTGGTAATGTTAGTTTTCTTGTAAATATCTTCCTACACATTTCTTCATGAAACAAACACTACTGGACATAAATGATCAGATAAATACCAACACAATTATAATGAGGGACCACAGAATCCCATTTTCACTAGTGGATCCATCAGAAAAAAAAAAACGAAGTATCAGAGTTGAACCAAACCTTTGAAAAAATGGAACACACACACATACACAAACACACATACACACAAAATGTTCCACCCAACAAGAACAGAATATATACTCTTCTCAGTAGGACTTTCCCAAAAAAGACCAAATGTAATCTCGTAAAGCATGCACAAAAGAAGTGAAATTATCCCAGGCATATTATTAGATCATAGAGCAATAAAACTAGAAATCAACGGCAAAAGAAACCACAGAAATTATGCAAACACATAGAAATTAAACAATAACCTCTTGAATAATCAATGGCTAACAGAAGAAATTAGACATTTCCAAAATCAAATGAAAATGCCAAGACAATATAAAGAACTTATAGGACACAAAAAAAGCAATTCTATGAGGAAAGTTTATAGCTGTGAATGCCTACATCAGAAAAACAGACTGAGCTCACATAAATAACCTCAAGGCCCTAGAAAAATAAGAACATTCCAAATTCAAAGCTAGTACAAAGAAGGATTTAAAATATCAGAGCAGAAATTGATAAAACTGAAACTAATAAGAGAATACTAGACCCAGAGAATTGAAGGAGAGGTGGTTCTGTGAAAGAATAAACAAAATAGACCAACACCCAGCCACTCAATCCAAAAAAGAAAAAAATATGCCAAATCAATGCAATTAGAAATGAAAAAGGTAAATTGACAATGAACACTGCTGAAATACTGAACATTACTAGCAATTACTTAAAAAACCTGTACCTTAGTAAATTGGTGAATTCAGAAGATAAGGATTGATTCCTAGATACAATTACCAAACAACTAAGAAGATATCAAAACCCTGATTAATCTAGTAACAGGCAATGAAACTGAAGAAGTAATAAAACTACCAACTAAGAAAAGCTCAGGTCCCAGCGGATTGGCCACTGAATTCTTCAAGAACTTTAGGGATGATCTAATACCAATACTACTTAAACTCTTTAATGAAATCAAGAGGGAAGGAGTACTGTACTCCTCCCTAGGAGATGGTATTTCCTGATTTCAAAACCAGAAAAGGATCCAATCCCCGACAAAAAAAGAAAAAAGAGACAGAAACTTATGCCAATCTCTTTAATGAACATAGACACAAAAATCCTCAAGATACTGTCAAAACAAAAGCAACAAATTATCAAAAAAAAATCATACATCATGTAGGATTTATCTCAGGGATGCAAGGATGGTTTAATATATGCAGATCAGTAAGTGTAACAAATACATCATATACAGAAGCAAGGACAAAAATCACAGGATCACCTAACTGGATTCAGGAAGAGGTTTTGACAACATACAACATCCATTCATAATAAAAACTCTGAAGAGAATAGGTACAGAAGGACCTTATCTCAATCTGATACAAGCAATTTATGACAAACAAAAGGTCAACAGAGTATTCAATGAGAAAAAAGTTAAAGCCTTCCTTCTAAAATCAGGAACAAGATAAGGACTCCATTATCACCAGTCTGGTTTGATGCGGTTCTCTTAACATTATCAATGGAAGAGAATAGAAGATCCATATACATTCTGCTTTCTGATTTTGCAAAAGGGACCGAAGAGATAAACTAGAGGAAAGATAGTCTCCTTAACAAATGGTGCTGGGAAAACTGGCTGCCCATATGCAAAAGACCTAGAACTATTTTTCTCACTGTGTACTAAACTAAAATCAAAATGAATCAAAGAACTAAATGTTAAAACAGAAACACTATCTACTAGAATTGTTAAAATACTTGAAGACAGGCATAGACAAAGACCTTCTAAACAGAACATCAACTGTATAAGAATACCAAGAATCAATAAATGAGATCATATCAAATGAGAAAGTTTCTGCACAGCAAAAGAAACAGAAAGGGAAAAATAAATTTGCCACTTATTCCTTAGGTAGAAGACTAGTATCTAGAATATATAAGGAACTCAAAAAGAATTAGACCCCCCCCCAAATAAAAGACCCAATCAAAAAACAGGCAATTGAAATGAACAGACACTTCTCAGAAGAAGTATAAGTGGCCAATCAATACATGAAAATATGTTTAATATCTCTGGCCATTAGAGAAATACAAATTAAACAACACTGAGGTTCTATCTTATTCCAGAAAGCATGGCTAGCATCAAGAAATCAAATATCACATGCTGGTGAGGCTATGGGGAAAAAGGAACCCTTCTGTATTGTTGGTGTGACTGCAGGAGAACCATTATGGAAATCAATATGTAGAGTCCTCAAACTCTGAATATTGAAATTAGAAATTTCATTCAACTCAGCTATTCCCCTTCTAGATATGGTCTTGAAGGACTTGACATTATATTACCATGATAATGTTTATAGCAGCACAATTCATAATAACTAAATCACAGAAGCACACCTTATGTCCATCAACAGATGAGTAAACAAATGTAGTATTTACACACAACGGAGCACTACTCTGCCCTAAAGGAGGATGAATCTGAGTAATCTGTAGAAAGAAATGGATGTACCTTGAGCTCATAATGTTAAGTGAAATAAATCAAACATGTATGCTTAAAAATAGCACAGGTTCTTATATCAGAAATCTGAAATATAAATAAAGACTAAAATAAGAGATAGATAATAGGAAGATAGAGCTTTTGCAAATAGGAAGGAGACCAAGAGATGGGGCGAGGGTGGGAGTGGAGGGGAATGTGTTCTAGGCATGGACCGATTCCCCACGAGGAATGGATACTTATGTACTGCAGACATGGACTAGTAAAACATAAAGATTAGAAAAAAGCCTTCTCTTATTTTTTTTTATTTTAAAAACCTGAAGCACAAATAACTTACACAGAAGCTGTTACATAAACCTGTTTTTAAAAATGTTTTCTTTCTTTTTCCTCTTCAAATCAGGCATTGTTTTTCTTGAGTCTTTTCAGCCCACGTGTGAGATTCTTATGGGATTATGGTCTTCTACCAATTTGTCTCAGGCATCGTTCTCGAAGCAGGCCACACGGGGGCCAGCTCTGGTCCTACCCATCTCACCAAGCGTCTCTCAGCCCCGGTGCACACGCGCTGCTCTGTAACTAACTAGTGACGGCGAAATGCAACGCTGAGTTTCTCAAGTACTTTAGAACCAGGGTACAGCTAACACATGCATGTTGGAAAGCATTTTACATTATTTTTCTTCCAATTAGTCACCTGGATGAAAGTTAAATTACCTCTTAAATAGAAAAACGGGGGAATATAGCTGATGGTGTAGTTATACATGATGCAAATAAATTCTTACCGAATAGAAATACAATTGATGTCCCACAAATGTTCCAGTTGATCTTATTTTTTAATTATTATTTTTAACTAGTACACGTCTGCAGTACATGCTTCCATTCCTTGTACAGGGTTGGTACGAGCAACCAAAACATCTTACTGTCTTTTCCCATCCCCTCCCCACCTTGCTCCTCCTCCCATCTCTTGATTCCCTTCCCATTTTTAGAAAGATAATTTCTTAATATAGGGTTTGCTTTAAAAAAATTTACAGCAGTTTTTAAATACTGCATTTAGCATGTATGCATTAAACACAATACCGAGTTCAGAGCTTAATATTCACTTCATAGAAAAATTAATAACCTCTTCATATTTTTCACTGGAAAACAATATGAACAACATAGATTAGCTAGATTAAGTTATGTGACTAAAGAAGACTTTCAACAGTGTTGCACCCTTTTATAATCTTCCCTACTGCTCTCCGTTTCCATTTGAGGCACAGGATGCTGCAAAATGCCGCAATACTCCAATTAGCTTTTCTTTTTCTGATCAGCAGTTGTCTTTCTCTGGTTCCTTTGACCAGGAAATATGGTACAGTGAGAAAATGATGGATGGGTTTGAATTATCCTTTGGCACTGAGTAAGTCTCTTAAACTTTCAGAGTTTCACACTACTTACCTGTTAGCAGGTGGATTAATAGTAATTAACAATTAATTAATGGATTAATAATTCCTAGCACATAGTATGGCCAATAAAGAATAGGAAAGCACTTAGAACACATTGTATGAAGCCTGTAAATTTCCATCCTTAGTTATAATTAACATACTGCCACACTAACAAAGCAGCTGCTTTCTTGGGCATGTGTCTTTCTCCTCTGACCTCATATTAATACCTACCTTATAAAGTTTTAAGAATTAAAGGTAATAATGTTGAAATAATTAAGTAAAATTTAATTATTATAAAATAAATTAGCCAATAGTTATAACTAATAATCACTGAAGTGACAAAATATAGAAATTATCATTATATAATAAACCAAAAAACTTTTAAAAACTTAAAGGTTTATAAACATTAACGATCCTGAAAGTTAGGTATATATCAAAATCACAATTGCTGTCTCTTAGGAAAGTTTATATTTGTATAATTCTTTTAATTTTACAGAGTGATTTCTTTTATCTCAGCTCACTGAATTATGATTTGCACAAAAGCATTATTTCATTTTGTAGATTCATTTTGTAGATAGGGAAACCACAGTCTTATTTTTTTCTTCAGCATAAAATCAAAGTCAAGACATAAAATCAGTTTCCTTCCATACCACAATACAAAAGAGAAAGAAAACTTATGTGAGCCCAAAAAAAAAAAAAAAAAAAGTTTGTTTGTCAAAGACTGCCACTGATGCAGGGAGCTCCATCTCTCTGGGGAAAGCTCCCAAAAGTGTGGGTCTCTTTTCTCACCTTTATCTCAAGAGAACTATCACCAGGAAAATGAATTCTTAGGGAACAGGCTTTCTCAATGAGCTCATATTCTAAGGAGAGGGTATTTTTTTTGTTTGTTTACATGATGACCAAGATTCTCTATATATTAGCATGCTAACATTTATCTTGTTTTACTAGTTTTAGTTTTTTTTAATCATTTAACATATATATCTAAATAAAGAGTTCTTAATTTGAAGTTCTGAAATCAGTTATACAGGGTCGGTTAACTTGATGGTAAAAATGTAATCTCGTTGTGTTCACTAACTTTGGAAATTTAGCACTGCTCTCAGTTTTAAATGTAGGAAACAAACCAGGCACTAGCAATAGCTATGCCTTCATCATCAAAGATATAAAGACTTTTGGCATTGTATTACAGATGCTTCAGATATCATTTATGTTCATCATTACTTTGAAATTAGCTATGCCAGTAGATTTTTTTTGATTTGGTACTGACAAAATACATATTACCCTTTAACAATTGAAAAAAGTTTAATTTATTTAACCATTATTGGTTTCTTTTTCTTAGTATATTTTATACAATGCATTTAAAAATATTTGTAGAAAGAGTATGTAATTTCTCACAATGTCTAAGGCTCCATAGCTTGAGAATCTTCTTATTTTTTTATTTTTGTCTTTTTGAAACAGGGTCTCACTATGCAGTTCAGGATGGCCTTGAGCTCACTTTGTAGCCCAGGCCGGCCTCAAACTTGCAATGATCATCCTGCCTCCGCCTCCTGAGTACTGAGATTATAGGCATGCACCACCACAACCGGCTCGGAACCTTGTTAAATGGAGATCAAAAAGCAGCTACCAAGGGCTGGGGATTTAGCTCAGCGGCAAAGCGCCTGCCTGGCAAGCGCAAGGTCGTGAGTTCGGTTCCCGGTACCGGAGAGAAACCAAAAAAAAAAAAACAAAAACAAAAAGCAGCTATATCTATAAAGCATCTTGTCCAAACTGAAGCTACAAATCCATCAGGAACTACAGCCATCTAGTGATGTAGACCTCAGATACAATAGTCCCACAATCCTTAAAAGGTGGTTAGTTATGGGGCTTACTCATGGTACACTCAGACTTAAGAAGGTATAACAGCATGACCATCAGTCATTTTAATTGTCATTTGTGGTACAGTTTTCAATAAATTACTTGAGTTAGTCAATATTTTCTTACAAAGTAGGCTTTGTGTTATTTTGTACAGCTAAAGTAAGTATTCTGGGCATGTTCAAAGTAGGCAAACTTAAGCTATGATATTTGGTAGGTTAGGTGTATTAAATACTTTTTTTTAATCATGATAATACAAATTTATGATAATTTTATTAACCGCTTACAATACATAGGATGGCACTTAATGTGACCTGGGATAGGACTGTGGAAGATAGAACTTACAAAGTGTGTGAACTTTCGAGATTTTGTCCCTTTTTATCTAGTAATCTCTACTTTAATTTTACAAGCATTGATAAACCAAAGCCAACTACATAACTGCATAGTTGTGTTTTATAGTAGAAGGTATAACAGATTCATCTTTAATGTCAGACCTAGTTGCTAATGATTATATCAGGTCCTACTTTAGTCCTCACTCTATTCTTAAGATAATACTTAAAAGTAACGATGCTTAGTTTATTTTTTTATAAAGCATTTAAGACTCAATCTTTAGACATGCCTATCATTATAAACAGTGAGTATTGGACCAAGATAAAAGAAAATAAAATTATAGTAATTAATAGACTTTGCAGAGTCATGTCCTCAACCTTTTTCCTGTTACTAAAGGATGTTAAATAACTGTAACTGTCCTTAATTTCTTACTTAAATTAAAATAAAAAATAACTAAAAAATGCTAATGCTTAAAATCTTTTTTCTTTTATTAAATCATCAGGAATAATTGCAATAAAACATATATTTAAGTTAAAAGATTATAATTATTATCAATGTTTTGAGGAATCTGTGAAACTTAATCATTACAGAATTGAATCAGAACTGGGTAACTTAAATGAAGAAGCCCAACTAAACACCCTGCCCTAAAAATGTACTTCATGGCTCTACCCGTTCAATGGGGTACTACGTTCCAGTGTAGCACCTCTTCAGTAGCTGATGATAATTATGGTTATGTGTGTCACTCATATTCATGTCTGTACCTCCTTTAACATACAACTGATATTCACGTCCACATTTTTCCTTGAATGCTTAATCATTAATCAGATTTAGCTCCACAAATGAAATTATTTTTCTACATAACATCACTGGAAATGTCTTACTTGAGGATGAACTTACCTCAAGTTGAACCCTTTGTTCTAAATTCTTATAAGATCTCTGTAGTAATTCCCGGGTCCCAAGGACTCCATACCACATCAAGTTTTTAGTTCGGCTCCTGAAGAGAAATATTGGCAGGGAATCTCAGTAAATTTTAATTTTTTTCTTCTTAAAGGTGGAGGAAGCAAAAGAGATAATAAATGAAATTAAGTAAAAATGCGTTCATGTAGTAACATAATTGCTACTTTCAAAATTACCTGCATTTTTCAGGGTGCTCTTCTCTCTTATTATTGAATTCTAATGAAATTTTTGCATCTAATCCAATCCCAAAGTAATTGTTCATAACGCATTTTTCTGAATATCCATCTCTATGATAGTAAGGAGAAGTACATAAATTCAATTTCAGGTTCACTACAACATTTGAAATATGTTCACAAGATGGCACTTACAATGATTTCAAGTTCCTATGAGGTTCCTATTCCTTAGACTACAAAGTTCAGCAGGAATCATTTCCTGTGTATGTCACATGCACAGACCCAGTACCTGAGCACATGTGATATAAAGGGACAGCGGGCAAAGCTGAGACCAAGACGGGGCTTGGCTCTCTGTTTAATTTAGGCTTCTATCTCCTATGTAAGCCTCTTACTCTACAGACAAATAGGGATGATAATGCAGGGCCGTCACTCACAAAGGCCAACACCCCTCCTTCATCATTACAAAGTCTCCAGTATTTATTGAGCAAAAACTGGTAGTTTCAATCTATTCTTCTAAGCATTTTTGAAAGTTTAAAACAAAAGACTGTCCTTGAGGAATGTCATTACAGAAATAAGATATAACAAAGCAAAATTAAATTGAAAGTAAAAGAAAGAAAAATGTTTTGACCTGTCAAAAATGTTTTTAGGAATTTTAAGAAGGGAAAAGATCAATGTGGGCCAGAAGCTTCTTGAAATCAGTAAACCTGGAGAAGATGGCAGCTTTGGTGAGGCTGAGAAGAAAGGCGTAAGAGAGAACGGCATAAAGACAGGTGGGAAACGCTATGAAGTAAATGTCTCCAAGGGAAAGCGGCAGAAGCTGTGCTTTCCTTTACTAGCGTTGCTCACACAGAGAACAGGTGGGAAAAGGACCTGCCTCAGAGATAGCCCAGGAAGCCAGTGAATTTCAAAGGTCCCAATGTGCCCTTATGAACTCCTGCAACTGTCAATCACTCTTTGTTGTACATGGAGCCACACATACTATGATACACTTAAAATGCTACAATTCATATAAAACAGAAATAAGTGAAGCCAAAACTAAGTAATTGGAAAAGCATTTTCTTACACTGAATCTACATCTGGGTCAATAAACGGCGTTGCACCGAAAGGATCAATATTTGCTAGTAACATTTTGTTGATAATAGAACTCCCAGCAATCGAGGCAGCTAGTCCTGCTCTTAAACCTAAACAGAAGAATAAATATATACAGGATCACAACATATTCAAGCAAAAAGACAGAAAGAACCAGCCCAGTCAGGCCTCACCTCACAATCATTCTCTTAAAGTACATTTTTCAGTTCCTATTCATCTCACTAATCAAAACTAAGAACTCAGTTACAAACCCAGGGTTTTTGATAACTTTAAACATGTACCTATATGCTGTCATAATGAATTAAGGAGATGAAGCCTTGGATTCTCTTTGTGACATTTTCTCATGTACCATTCCAGGAATTCTATAACTTCAACAAACATATATTACTTTCTTTGTTGCAAATAGGATAATAATGTCTGTAAGGAATCTACAATAAAGGTTGAATTACCCAAAATGTCATGGAGATAGCACTTTCATACTTTCAAAGCACAGCTAATAATACTAAGTTTAAATTTAAAATGTTAAAGAGATGTATTAAGGTAAAAACTCAGTGTTATTGTCAAAAATAAGTAGTAAAATATAAAATGAAGCTGCTACTTTTTTAATTGTGTGGACAAAATGAGATTATATAAGTGGCCTATTGCAATTACTCCATAAATGGTAACTCACGGTATTTGAACTTGCAAAATTGTTCTAATTTCAAACGAGAATACTGGAGTCATCTAAATTCCTCACAACTGGCTGGTCACTCAGTCCCATCAATTCTGCCTCCCACGAAGCCGTTCTTTCCACCTCTTTCATCTGCTCAGATCTTCTCAGAGTGCTGCCCTGTGCAGCAGCCTCTGCACCCTGGCTCACGTCCTCTCGTTCCTTTTAAGTTTAATGATGGTCCCCTCCTCAGCCAGGCGTGCTGATGTGTGCCTGTGATCCCAGCACTCTGGGAGGCGGAGGGAAGGATTCTAGCCCAGAATGGGCAACTTAGGGATTTAGTAAGACCCTGTCTCAAAATTAATAATAATTTTAAAAAAGGATGGGGATGTAGCTTAGTGTAAAGGCACTAGTTTCAATCTCCAGCACCACAGGAAAAAAAAAAGAATGTATATATGTGAATTCTACAGTGCATAGGTCGAGTGTTCTAAAATGTTTCTTTCAGGTGTCCTATTTCCTTATTGATCTGTCCACTACTGAAAGTGAGTTAATAAAGTCTCTATTATCATTGAATTGTGATTTATCTTTAAAAAGAACTTGTATAAGATACTTATTTCAGGGTTTAACTTGGATACGAACCTACTCTGAATGAAACTGAGGGACTTTTTGAAGTGAAAACAACTGGCATTTAGGGAAGCCTATGAAGTCTCAAATGTTTTCCTCCATGTTCTGCTTACAGCCCTTTGGTTGCTATTAACACTAGTCTAAGCTAAGGTAAACTTATTTTATCAGTACTATAATAAGATGTTCAAAACATAAAGTAGTATCACCAGGCTAAAAATGTCTACAGAAAGACAAGTGGCTTAAAACCAAAAGTAAGTTGTGGAAATACTTGTACTTAGAGGTCACAGACTGTACGAGAACATTTACTGTGGATATTTAATAAGTAGAGATTCCTGGGCTCCACCCCAAAAACAGTGCATCATAATTTCTCATGGGAGGGTCAAGAAAATGTGCTTTAATGATTCCTAGAAAACTGTTACACACAGAAGAATGTAAGGACCTGGATCCCTACTGGTCAGTGTGGCAAGAACATTGTCTTAGGAACATTTATCTTTAAGCACAAATATACTTCACAGTTCAAGGAAATGAGTACTTATACATTATCACAGAAATACTTAACAATACACCATGTTTCAAAATCTGTACTACCTGGGCAGATTATTCTAGTATTTAGTACAGGGAGATTTTCTTTGGTGGCTGTCACAGCTGGACCAGGGAGAGAATCAGTTTGGGAATGGCCACGACTTGCCCGAGCATCTGGAGACCGCGGTGCAGCTTTAACTGGTGGCAAAACGTCTGGATTAAAAAAAAAAAAGGGGGGGCAAAAGGTAAATTATTACTAAGTGCCTACAAATTTAAGACCTGTTTCTTTTTGAGACAAAGTCTCGTTACGTAGTCCAGGGTGGCCCTGAACTCACTATGTAGCTCAGATTGGCCTTGAGCTACATGACCCTCCTGTGGCAACCCTCCTGTCTCATCCTCCTGAGGACTAGCATTACAGGCATGAACTACTATGCCTGGCCAAGACCTGTTTTAATCAAGAAGAAGAACTGAAAATATCAATTACATCTACCTGTTCTTTTACCATTTTATTTTTCTTTTCTTGAGACATAGAGAGGGTGTCTGCCAAAGCAAATGTTTTGACCTCTGATCTCAGAGAGTAGTAGAAAACAGATTTCTTCCATAATTAGAAGTTAATAATATCATAACTTCAATGTGATCAACCCATATTTAAAAATAAATAGCAAATGTGAAGCCAGATGATTTTTTAAAATAGTGTGTACTACAAGCATAACACGCTTCTCACAAATACTGGGTGAGCTGTCAATTTAATTCATGTAATTCCTAGTGCTAACATGTGAAAGCTGAGTTAACACTGTCTTGTAAAAGGGGAAAGAGAACAGTGCTTACTTGCAATGAAACCAACGTGCTTTACTTGCATCTCTGTTACTAATAACGATTTGCCCTAAAGTTATTCTAAAAGCAAATAACAAGATTTAATTCTAGCTAAACTGAGGTAATTTAATAAATAACAAGCAGTACCTTTAATTTAGGGATTATTAGTACGTATTTTTAAAAGATCTCAAATTAAATTTAAAAGTACTTTAAAATTTAATTATTTTCACTCTCCCTTTGACTAATTACAAATTAACTATATTAATCATAGACTGTATTTTCTCTGCTCAAATCGGTTTAGTTGCATTAAAGAAAATTAACAGAAGAGCCACTCTATTTTTTTTGGACAGATGTGACTTCTGTGGCTAATTTCTAATAAAAGCAACATTTTGATGTTCCTCTCTGAGAAAAAGCAGAGAGTACACTAATGACTAACACTGATCTTCCATCGCCAGTAATTAAATCAGTGATTCAGCTGGGTATGGTGACGCATACCTGAAATCCCAGCTACTGAGAGGCAGAGTCAAGAGTATCACAAGCTCAGTGTCAGTCTGAGCAACTTATCGAAACCCTGCCTCAAAAAAAAAATTAAAAAGAGCGGGGAATGTAGTTCAGTGATAGAATGCTGGGTGAGGCCCTGGGTTCAATCCTCAGTATGCGGTCAATCATCAATCAATCAAATTGTAAAAATAACAAAAATTAAATTTAAAAATTAGTTTCATGGGTCTTACATAAAGCATCTCATGATTATATTTAATGTATTTCTCACTTCTCTGAGTTATTACATAATTTAAATAATGATACAATGAGTGTGCTTCAACAATAACACTGAATACCAAAAAACTTCTGTTATTGGCACCGAATGATTTCCAATAAATCAGATCCCAATATTGAGTACTAGCCAAAATTAAGATCTTAAAATCAAGACTTTAAACAACATCAAAGACTTTTCTACCTATATCCATCCTAGTATCAATATCTACAACACTATCTCTGTATTTTTTAGCTTCTTTTAATTAAAATGAAACTTGAATTTATGAGAGTATGATAAGGTGAGATGATGGCTGGTTGGAAACCATTAACGATGAGCACTGAAAAAAAAAGAATCGATCCTCCACAGAAAGCCATTACTTAATTACTTAGGGGGAATTAGCAAGCATACTATAAAGACTATAAGCATGCCCTGGCCAGCCTCACTTTGATATCTTTTAATGGATGAAAATATCCAAGGCCTAATTATCAAATTCACAGATGAGGTAAATTTGATAAGATAGAATCAAGTTCTAAAAGATTTTGACAGGACTAAATGATAGACTCGAATAGAAAAGACTTTTTAAAAGGATAATAATGGTGAATGTAAACTACTATAATGAGTCTGAAAAAAAGCAGTAGACTTTGCGATACCAAAATGTGCAGAATGAGTACTCACTGAATGTAAATGTACTCTTTCTTACAGAAAAACATCTGGGGAATTTTGTTCAAATTGTGTGTCACATTTTAAGGTAAATATTGACTAAATAGATACAAACAAAAAAAGAAATCCAAAAAATTTGAAATCATCAAGTTAAGGACTGGTAGAAGAGATGTGGACAACTCATGTGGAAAAGGAGATATCCCTGGCAAGGGAAGATGCTGCCGGAAGAGCTCTATCAATCTCATCTAAGGGCTGCCTCCGGGAAGAAGAGTCAGCGATGGCTCCAGAGGCCAGACTCTTCTTCAGTACAGTGAAATTCTGAATGTAGAATCGCTTCTTAAACCAGTCCTGAAACACTACACAAATGCCAGTAGTTGTTACTGTCAACATTCCCATATACAACACTTAACAATGTCTGTAGTTGTTGAAATTTAAGAGATAAAAACAGCTCAAGATAAAGAGTAGCTTTCTAACAATTACAGCCATGCATAAGCATGGAAAGTATTAAAACTGAGTAGTCCAAAGACCCAAGGGCCATCTGTAAAAGTTCTAGAATATGTCTATCCTGAGTTGGATGCTGAACATATAAGATCTGCAAAGTCTGATTTTGAAGTATAAGAGTTTGAAGTAAGACTAAGGAATATTCTCTCAAAGTTAATGTAATTAGCAGCACCAATAAATAATTAGAGGAACACTATAATAATAACGGTAAACACATACAGTATTACGCACCAGCTATATTCTAGGCACCTTACATGCAGAACTTTACTTAACCTTTACTAACTCCAGTGAAATTGTATATTATTATTATTTTACAGAAAAGAAAACCAGAGAAGCTAAGTAATCTGTCCAAGTTTATATATAGTGAAAGTAACAGCAAAAATAAAATGAATTCTTGAAAGTAAACATTTCTGACATAATTATGTTGATTTTTCATAAGTACCATTTATATTATCATCATCTCTTCATTTGTATTTTTTTTCTGCTTTTTTTATCCCAGTAAATTAGAAACTTTTTGCTTATGTAATACAAAATATTAAAACTATAAATTCATCTTCAATGAAAAGCTGTAAGGTAGACAGTTAATAGCCATTGAGAAGTTTACATTTTCATAAAAATAATTTTGGTAAAGAAAAGCATTGTTAACTGTGACTTTAAGCTTAATTTAGAGACAAGGATCATCAGTCTAGAAGGTGATCAGTGAAACCTGGGAACTCCTGAACAGTTTAAAGGCCAAATTGTAGACATATGGGAACTGTAGCTTCCCTACAATTTAATCTGAGGTCTACAATAGCTTAAAATAGAACGAAATAGGTGTTTCTTCCCTCTTTCTTCAGGAAAACTAAGATAGTTTATCACTATAATCTCCAGAATACATGTTAAGAGAAGGATGTGAGGGTTATCTGACAATAGTTTAAATAATTGGTCACCTTTATCATTTTAGAATTCATGAATATCTAAGCTTTAACTTCCAAATAGCCATTTCAAAAGTAAAAATATGTCTACAGCCATACCACCCTGAATGTGCCCGATCATGTCAAAAGTAAAAATATGAATAGTTTAATTCAAAATGGCTAATCTTTTGAAAGCTAAATGCAAAATTACATTTTATTCAATTCCAAAATAAGGTTATTATAGTTTTCTTACCAGTTAATGATTCTCTTGAGTCTTCTTTAGATTCTTCTTTAGATTCGTCTGTTTCTGCACTATCGTAATCAGTAGAGATAACTGTCTGCTCATCTATAACTTTAATAGAAAAATATATTTGGGTAATTGAAAATAAAATCCATTCATACACTTAGGAAGTAAAATTAAAACACACATCAAAAAAAGTTTTACATTCACAAACACTATTTAATAATACACTTGAGGGTCATGTCTGGAAGTTTCAGAGATTATATCTGTCTATCTCAAAATAAAAGTATATATATACCAGAATGAATATTACTTACCCATGCTAAAATTAACTTTTAGTCTACCAAAATTCTAAGTGTAGACATTATATTAATATAAAAATTAAAATATAGACAGAAATTTTGTATACTCTCAAAAAAGAAACATAAGCATTTACAAAATTAATGCTAAAAAAATTATTCTCTGTATTTCCAAAGTAGTTTATAGGTTAAATATTCAATAGCTTCTAATTAAGCAAAAAATATTTAAAACTAGAAATTTGGCCTAAATGACTTTTCTTTTTAAGATAGTGATAGAAATGTTTAACCTTAATTTATTTCTGAATTTTTTTTTTTTTTTTTTTTGAGGGGAAGTATTAAAAGATTGAACCCAGTGCCGCCTCACTGAGCTACATCCTGGTCCTTTTCTATGTCCTGAGACAGGGTCTCACTACATCACTAAGATGCCTAGGCTGGCCTGCAGCTTTTGATCCTCCTGCCTCAGCTTCCCAGAGTGCTGGGATTATACACACGTGCCACTATGCCCAGCTCTATTTCTGAGATTTCATATTATGCATCATTAATATGCTGATCTTTACTACTAAAATAATAAACAGGACTAAGTACAAATTTCCTTTTAGTGGATTTATCTTCCTGTACTGTGTCTTAAATTTGTTTTTCAGTGTGTCCAAGCTGACCATCATGAAAACTGTATTATACTTGTAGTAGAAAGGCTGCCGACCTCTTCCAAAGCTCATCTTGTTAATGTGTACCTTTTCCAGCTTCTTCAATGACCTGCCTCACTGCTTTCTTTAGACTGTTTGCTCGTAACATTATCTCCCTTGGTTTGACGGCTTTCTGGGCGGAAGGTTTTGTAATATCTTCCACAAGTTGGTCCTTGCTTTCCCCCAAGGATTCTTCACTTGAAGATTCCACAACGTCTTCTTCCAGGATGACAGTCCCCACACCTGGGAGAGTGGGAGCAGCCTGGAAATCTGTGTGCAAAGCTTGCAACAGGTGCTCAAGTTTCTCATTTAAGACCGAACACTGAGAAAACAAAACACGGTAATGAACAATAAATTCAAACAGAAGAAACATCAGCAGACGAAATACAGGTAGTTTTTATGTAAGATGTGCTAAAGGATTAATCACTAAAGAAAAAACACTAAGATGTAACTGGTTATCACTTCTTATTTTGAAAATGTTTTGGTTCAGGAGACATTTATTGTAAAGTTTAGTGGAGATGGAAATGGTATTTTCAATTAGTGGTTTTTGATTTAGAGGGAAGATGCCTATATTGATGTTTACTATAAATTATTTATCTAATACAGCTATACTTTAGACCTACAAAGTATTTTATAATTTTAAAAACATAAACTAGCACAATTTTTTTTTTTTTGGTCTTTTTGAGACAGGGTCTCGCTATGTGGTTTAGGCTGGCCTTGAGCTCACTTTGTAGCCCAGACTGGCCTCGAACTTGCAACAATCCTCCTGCCTCAGCCTCCCAAGTGCTGGGATTACAGGTGTGTGCCACCATGCCTGGCTCAAAATAGCACAATTCTTAAGTAAACTTATTGATTTATGCCTCCAGAATCATGCAAACTTCATTTCATGGATTAAAATTCTTATAACCTTTGTATGGCTATTTTTCCTTAAAAGAACACAACAGATAATTTACAATAAAGTGATACAGTGCACAAAATTATGATATATTATACAAAACATTAACCTTCCTTTCAAAAAGGGGATTGACATATGGCCGCATTTTGAGTATCACAAACTGTAGCACGGCTTAGTCTCAGCAAGCCAGCCTTGAAAGCCCTGATTTGCAAAGAAGTGAACAGTGCCTAACGGGTTATTGGCTCGAATAACAAGAAGTTGAACAGCAGGACTAAGAGGGAAAAGGAGAGATGTAGAAAGAAAAAAACAAGCACTTGGCCCATCTTTCTTTCTGCTTTTTTCATCTTACTAGGAGTGGAGAAACGCTCAGGACTGTAGCTGTCAGTGCTCCTTCTAACCTGCCTCTCACCTCCGCACAGCCTCCAGCCTCCTTCCCTTCCTCCTGTTTGTCCTTGAGGACAGACACAGTGCGAGACGAAGACATAGGAAAACGAGTCGAGGCAAAACTCTGACTAACAGAGGCTCTGAAACTCTCCAGGGTAGAAAAAGGAAGAAGACTTCAAATGTGTTTATTTCTACTTTCTTTTCTTTCCACTCAAACCATCTAATGCCTGAGTTTTGGGAGGTAAAGTCTTCTGCAAACGATAAATGAGAGTGTATTTTTTGAAATTCTGTTTCCTACGTCATTTTCCCCTTGACTGACACTGCTCTGGCAGAGCAGCCTCCTAAGCGGTGCAGCTGTACAGCACAGCCCAGTGCGGACGCTGTCAGCGCGCAACTTCTACGCCCCAAAGCGCCTCTTACCTTGGTAGCCACAGCCTCCGCGACAACGGCGTTCTCCAGCGTTTTCTCGTAGGCCTTCTCCACCTTGGCAACAAAGTCCTTTATGGTTTCACAAAGTATCCTGCGAGAAAGAAAAATCCAACACTTCAGTAAAATAAAATTGGTTTATTTACTATGATTTATAAATATTTACAAATAAGCACAAGTGGACAAACTGTCAAAATAGCTGCATCGTTCATAAAAAATCCAGTCTTTCCTCTGTAGTATAATATATCCCAGATAAATTTAAGTCAGGAATAGCTATATGAATAAACCTTGTTCTTAAGGTTATAACAAGCTCTCAAATATTTTCAGCCTTAAGAAGAATATTTTTCAATCGTTTTAAAAATAATATGTCACCTCTCACAGATTATACATTTGTGTAACTGAAACTGCAGTGTTGAACAAACATTAGGTTTATCACTTATGCTGTCGTTGTCAATCTACTATTCTTGCTGCTGTCACCTTGGTAACACACTCTTCCTGAAGAGGAAAGAAATTACGCATTATGTTGCCAACCAACCTGCCACTTGAACTGAATTATACTCTCTGTAAACCCATTCACTTCTTCACCTTAAAATAACCAATACAATAATATACCAGACTAACGTAATGTAGGTCTCATTAGTGTCAGCAGTATATGGTTTACTTGTTTGATTCTTTCTAATTACATTTGGTCTCTTTGCAGAAGAATTAAACTGAAAGATAAAATAACCTGAAACATTAAAAAAACATCTTTCAAAGGTCTTTGGAGCTAGTGATGGAGTTAAAGCCACCAACAGAATGGTACAGGATTTGTTTGTTTTTAGCAAGTTTTTATGGTGATTATTTTTAAAGTACAATAATGGTCTCCATCATTGTTACAGACTAAGAAATGTGAAGAAAAAAATTTTTCAGCAGTTTTTTTTCTATTAAATTATGATTTCTCTCATAGATGAGTGACACTGTGATAAGCTTCCAGATACTTAAATATTATGATATTGAGCCATTCGGTAGATACAGAACACACATATACTGTACATGTGTACATGTATGCTAAACCTTCACATGTGTCATATAGGAAGTAAATCCATAGCTCCTAAAAATGTTTATTTGTTGCTTTTGGCAGCTATTTCTGCATTCACTTGGACAAAGGTAATGTTTCCTAACCTTCAACTTGCTAATTTTTAATTTTGGGGGGTATTACGGATTGAACTCAGGGACATACGCATGCTAGGATAGTATTCTACCACTGATCTACATCCCCAGCCCTCTTCGTCGGCTTTTTAACCTCAGATCTGCAAAGAATCTAGCTTGTCATTTACTAGAGAAACATTCATGTGCATCAAGTTTTTTCTTCTTTGTTGATGAGTAATACTTTTATGAAAATAAAAAATCAAAATATATAAGAAAGTTAATACACTTTACCATAATATTGTTTACTCACCAATACATAGCTTTAACAAAAGAAAGAAGCAGTTTGTTTTATATTTTATGCAGGTGGTACATGGGCAAATTCTTGTGTGTGTGCTATTTTTTCTAATCACTGAGTTGCACCCTTAGGACTGGGTACTGTGTACACTTTTAAAGCTTAAAGACACATAAACCAAATGCAGTGTGTGAACCTTGTTTGGATTTTTATTTGAATAAATCAACTACTTAAAAGAAAAAAACTTTTGAGATAACTGGAACAAGAATTGAGTAACACTGACAGTAGTAAAAAATTAATTTAAATCCCAGCACTTCGGCGGCTGAGGCAGATCACTGTAAGTTCAAGACTAGTGAGACCCTGCCTCAAAAAAAAAATTAATTTCATTTCATTTTTAGAAGATTTTATATATACAAACACATTTGAAAATGGAATAAAATGGTTTCTTGGGTTTGTCTAGGGATATGGCAAAATAGAGTGAACGCAGATGGGAAAACGGTAAATACCGGAGCTGAGGAATGTTGTGGTGGGAAGTCACTGCACCAGTCTCTCTACTTTCACCTGTTTGAAAATGTCCATAAAAATAAAATTAAAAATATAGTACTGGCCTAAAGACATTACACTCTGTCCTCTCTTTCATCTCTTGAACTCTTCAGACCAAACGCTTTGAGTCTAACGTGAGGCTGCAATAGTATAGCAGCAAGCAGAGCACAGCTCAGAGGAGTTCAAGAGGAGACTGGGTGGGAATGGAATGACTTAAAGCAAGAGAGAAGGTCGAAGAGAAACCCAAAGGTAGGGCTAAGGTCAGAGGTAAGAAAAGTAGCTAGACCAAGACCACACAATAAAAACTGGAAATGTAGGAGATAATCATACCAGAAGTTTCATGTAGCAATCTGTAGTTATATTCTCTGTATGTATTTATTTATCTTTTTTTTTGTCTTTTAAAGACAGGGTCTCTCTATGCAGTTCAGGCTGGCCTTGAGCTCACTTGATAGCCCAGGCTGGCCTTCAACTTGCAACAATCCTCCTGCCTCAGCCTCCTGAATGCTGGGATTATAGGCATGTGCCACCACACCCAGCCTGTATTTATTACTTATTTAATTCTAATAGTTCCATTAAGGAGAAATAATAGGCATCCTCTCATTTTTACAGTGGTTAAAAATAGACACAGGCCACAAAGGTGGCAAATAGGTGTCAACAAGACCCAAAATGCCTTAGTTTCTAAACTGTTCTCTAAATACTTGGAGAATTCCAGAAGAGCTTATTATTAATTTCTTTAGCAATACAGCAAATAATATTTTAAATGCTCAAATGATCATTAGAAACATTGAGACAAATAATGTTATCATTTTCTTTAGAATTTACTAGCTGTTATACAAATCTTGGACTAAAGAATCTTCTGCCATCTTATTAACTGATCCTTATAATATCAGAAGGCAATGTCCTTACAACTATGTAACCAAAATAAAATATAGAGATAACTGGAAACAGCATCAAATATGACTGTAATTGTCATCTCTAACCTTATTGCTTAATTTTTCATGAATGGCTTTTATAGTTTAATTTTAATCTAATTTATTAACATCAACAAAACAGAATGTCAGTCTTTTAATATTAGGATCTTGGGTAAGGTTTTATTTAAAAAAGGTTTCTACTACTAAGAATGTCAGACTACCTAGTTATTAAGAATGATGCCAGGTGCAGTGGTGCATACCTATAATCTCAGCTTATGAAGAAGCTGAGACAGGAGGATCAGAAGTTCCTGGGTAGCCTGGACAACTGAGTGAAATCTGGTTTCAACATTTAAAAAGGTTAGGTGTGGTTGTACACACTGTTATCCCAGCAATCAGGAGGCTGAGGCAGGAGGACAGCCACAAATTCAAAGCCTGCTTGGGCTGCATAATGAATTCAAGGCCAGCCTGAACGACACAGCAAGATCTTATTTCAATGAATGAATGAATAAAAAAGGATAGGGGTGCAGCTCAACACTTGGTGGGTTCAATCCTCAGTACCAAAAGAAATGAAAAGAAACAGATTAAGAATGGTAAGAGACACAAAGGGGGTGGCAGCTGCCACAGTGATCTTGTTTGCTGTTGTCCACATTTTGTAATATGAATTTTATTTGATTAAAAACATATAAAATATACATGAGGCAGTGATCAAATGCATCAAACACAAGGAGGTGAATCAGGCTTTGCTGGTATCCAACCCTAAAAGATGACAGGGTAAAATATTAACTACAGTTTATTAAAGGAGAATTATTTTATGTGTAATACTTTTTAAAAGCTGCTCTTTCTACACTCCTTTTCTAGTAGTATCCTTTAAATAGCAAGTGATTCACAGGGCAAGATGGGGGCGGCGGTGGGCAAGTCATATGTGTGCAGAGACAAGGTAAGGAGCCCGCACAAGGTAAGGAACAGGTGTGTGGACTGGGCTCAGGTTGAGGAAGACCGTAGGGCACTGAGCCTGAGACAAACTGGAATCCATGCATTTCACCATATAGCATACAACTCATTACACACACAAATCAATCAGCATCACTGCCTGCAGAGTGCAGCCCATCTCTGCTGCACCAACCACTGTGCTTCTCTTGCCTGGAGCCTGGTTTCCCTTCCTACTGTTCAAAGCTGTTTCCTGTTGCGGTAAAGAATACCATGAAAAGCAATCACCATTTGTATTTCTATCAAATTTAGTGCAACTAATTCTATAAGCCACTTCACAGATATTTCTGGAAAACAAAAGTCACAAAGAATTGACAGCAAGCAGCTTTCCTTCTATTTTTCCCATTTAACTACTTATCGTGACTTAGACTCCACGACTCACTTGGCAGATGATACGACCACTGCATGTTCATCAGAATTGAGGATTTTTGCAAGATGAGCTGTAACTGAGTCTTCATAAATCGTCATCTGAAGAAGAAAAACATCTACACTATGTTATCATTTTTGGCATTTACACAACTCAGTTATTCCTGCTTCGGAAATGGAACCATTCACGACACACATGACAGAGCAATGGCTACAAAAAAAAAGTCATTAAGCAAAACAGATAAATATTTCCTTTCTTTGAAAGACTTTCAGTTTCTAGAACACTTTATATTTTTAGACCAATCCATAAAATCTGCTTTTAAAAAAAGTTAAATGTCTAATACTTGAAAATATTATTAAAATAAGTATGATAAAAGTCAAACTAATTAAAATAGGCACAAGAACTTAGAGATTTAAATAGAATATCCTAATGATCCATAAACAGACAAAAAGGTATTCAACTTCAACAGCAACCTGGAAGATGCAAACTAAAACCACCACATACTACACCGTACATCTACCCGGACTACAAGAGCATCAGGTTGAGAATGCCACGTGTTAACAGGGTTGTGCAGCTGTAGGACACTGCTGAGGGGAGTGCAAATTGATACAAACACTAGAAAACTATTTGGTAGCTGAACATACACAGCTGGCTGTGGTAGAGCATGCTTATAATCTCATCACTCTGGGAGACTGAAGTAAAAGGACTGTAAGTTTGAGCCCAGCCTGAATATCTTAGCAAGTCTCTGTCTCAAAATAAAAAACAACAAAGCTCCCTAGATTTTGCACTGATGTAGCTCAGTGCAAAGGCCCTGGCTTCAGTCTCTGGTATCACAAAAAAACAAAAATTTAAGAAGTTGATCAAATGTATAATACCATAAGACACAAAAACTGTATGTATTTATATTTACCCACAAGATATGTAGATGTGTGTCCATCAAGTCATATACTATAGTGGCCACACAGCACTCACTCAATACTGCAATGGCAAGCTGTGGGACAATGAAAAGGAATGACTCATGACTACACCACAACATAGATGAGTCTGATGAACATGTGGAGTAAAAGGATCCAGAGGCCAAAGGATACATATAATATGACTTTATATTACAAAGTACAAAAAGAGACTAATCTATGTTGGTAATAGCAGCTATGAGTTGGAGGAGAGCGGCAGTGACAGAAAGGAGGGTGGGGTATCTGAATGTTGTCCTGTGATCTGGGTACTGATTACACAGGTTTGTTTAATCTGTGAAAATTTACCTAGCTACACCTATGATCTGCGTACTTCTTCGTATGCATATTATGTCAATAAAAGTTTCTAACGATGCAGGTATATAACCATATATGTAACCATACATCATGTAATAAATATTTCTCTTAAATAATGAGAAAATGCCAGTCACCCTATATCCCCTTTTTCTACTCTACATAAACTTGAACCTCCTGTTGAAAGAGCACATCTTCCTAATATGGCAGGATATGTACAACATTTAAACCGCCTCATCACATGTTTGTCTCATATATTCCTTGTCACAAAGCTCAAAATTTTCCAGTATAAATGAGATGCCCTATTCAAGCTGGTTTCCGATATTCTTCTATCTCACTTGTTCTGCTTTTTAAGAACAAGCACCACTTTATTCAGACTTAACTGAAGACTCACTTAATGTCCCTTCTGCCGTGATGCCTCTGACCAGTCTCCTCCTCCAAGCAATTTCATCGGTAACTTGCTGTCAAGCCCAGCAGTGACTGGTTGCTATGCTACTCTTCAATTTCTGTCTTACCCTTTTCAGAGGCAAACACTTGCGGCAAAGCAATTTTACATCAAACAAAAGAGGGGAAAACAGGAACCCCAAAGTTTCAATATTTTGGCAGCCCACAAATCCACATTCTTAATCTCTTGGTTTAAATACTAGAAACTGATGTAAGATTAGGAAAATGAAAACACACCTTCCAAAAATCCAAAATAAGGAAATGTTCTCCTGAGATTACTTCTATTGTCTTCCCTTCAGGAGGGAAAACATTTTAAATGACCAGGAATGCCATTAACTAATGAATCAATTAGTTTAATCAACTGGTTATTTAATTGTTATTTGAGTAAAGCCACTTCAAACTTAGGTTTAAAAATCCAAGTTTTGGTTCATTAAAGACATTCAAAGACAAAAAAATGCAACCTCTTTCAGAGGAAAACAAAATAACTTCTATGTCCGAGGATAGTTACAGATATCAAGGCTGGGATACAGCCCAACAGCAGAGCCCTGCCCAGCATGCTGAGGGCCCAGACTCGGTCTTTTGTCCCACAGAGGGGAAAAAAATTACAGATGTCACTTATTAACCTCCTACAGAATTGCTTACCAGGGTCAGAAAGGTAAGGAATAATTACAATTAACATTTTCTTGTGCTAACGCACTTGTATATTTTTACCCCTTTAATTTTCATGTTTTAATAGTCAAGGAACTTGAGACCAAGATGAGCTGAGTACTTTGCCTAAGATCCCAGTGCCAATAAGCCAGGGGGGAAGACTTAGCTTACTTTCAGTGTAGCTTTCAAGGTTAAAAAAAGATTTACACACAGTAAAGTGTAGTCCAGGTTGTTTTTCACTCCTGGAGTCATACGGAATATGTACCTACTCTGTAATCTTAAAGTATGCTACCCCTCTGTTATGAAAATACGTTTTTAAAAATGAATCATTAAAAGCCCAATTCCATTAAAAAGTAAGAGATTTCCTTCATGTACTTAAAATTATACCCCAATTTTAAAGTGTGATTACATATAAATGATGGAAGTTAATTATCTATCTGTATTTTATAGACATTTCCGAAGTAAAACAAAAGAATTCATATTTCTAAAGTAAAACAAAAGAACTCCCCCTTTTTTCCCTGTGGAAAAAAATAACATTTACAAGAACACTACTGAGAAAAGACTGGTTTCTACAAAACATGTATGATGGCTATAACCTGGTAGAATAACATTATAATAATAAATGCTGCTGGAAATAAAGCAGCAAACATATTAATCCCAATAACAATTATATCTGGGTGCTAGGGAATATAAGTGGTTTTTCTTTCCTTTTTTCACATTATTTTCTATTTTTAAAAATGTTATAGAAGCAATATTTTAAAAATATGATTAGCTTCTCTATGAAACATTCATTTCTAATTATCATTCCCTGCCTTACTTTTGACAAGATCATAATTTATTAATAACAAGATAAAGACTTCAATTGTAAAATAAACTGATGTATTCTCTGAGAGGGAAAATAAGCTATCTAGATCAAATGGTCTTAATGAGTTAGAGAATAATCCTCTGAAAGTTGGGTTTTGTTTTAAATCTCTGCTGCTTTGAGGTATAATCAGAATGCCGAACCTTTAAAATCCTCTGAAAAGCTGAGACATTTGTGGTCTATAGCAGGGATAAAATGAAGGCAGCCAGCTGTCTTTTGAGTTCTCTGGATCAATAGGCTTAACGCTGTCCTGGTGCCCTCTTCAAAGACCAGGCAAAGAGCTAAGAAGTTATGTAACATTCTGGCTTCATACACTGGTTTGTACGGAGACTGCTGAAAGGGTGAAGGGGGCTAACTCCCTGTAATCAGATGGGCTCATAATTAGCGCAGACGGCAACCAGCAGGTGACAGGAAGCGCCACCAGCCAGCCTCTGTCGGAGCTCTGCTGACGAAAGGGAGAGGCAGGCAGAACATGTAGGGAGAACTTCCGGGACACAAGAATACGACCTTGCATGCCTGGTGCTCCACACACATTGGTTTCATCATTTAATCCTCACAACATTATACTCTCACTTTAGTAACAAAGGCCCTCAAAGGTGAGTGACTTGGTTATGGTCACGCACCCAGTGTGGGCAGTCATGGGAGTGTTAACTAAAAGTAGTCAACAAAATGAAAATAAATGAAGTCAGTATGTTATTACAAACACTATGAATAAGTTTTTTCAATTTTCCCAAGCTCTCCACCCCCATTTCAAATGATAAGTAGGCAGAGTTAAATCTTACATAGAATTCTTCAGGTGCTTCTGGAGGTTCAGGAAGTAGAGAAGCCTTCGGGGGCAACTTGAGTTCATATGTCATTATACTCCACCTGAAAGGAGAAAATTCTTTGGTCCAAAATTCCTTTAAAATTTAAATATATATTATATATATATATATTATATATATATATAATATATAAATTTAAATATATATAAAATTTAAATTTATATCAACCAAAAATGAAGACATGAAATTTTGCTAATCTCAAAATACTGGGTTCATATTTTATGATCTCTACATTTCACCATTTCTCCCATTAGTGACTTCCTAACGTCTGAATACTGTGCACAGTAAGAATGCTCAGACGTAACAAGCAGACCCTTTTCATTAGCGCCATGCATTCTTTTTTCTGTTCTACTTTTAAAATAACACCCACTGCAATTTTACTAACTATATTACAAAGTATTAATGAGTCACAACCCAAAGCTCTACAACAATGTCCTAGAATTTAGCGGTGTCAAACCTATGGCAAGCGTGTTACTTGTTTTTCTTTAAAGACAAAAAAAGTTAATGTATGAGTTGTTTTTGTGTAACTAAAACCTCAGTATTAATTGCAGTGTTGAGACTTTGTGATAAATAATTGGGTTTTGGGTTGCATTTTGGGCAGTCGTCTTGGAAAAGGTTTGCCTTCACTGTTAAATTAAATAAACACATGATATCTATGTACCAACCACTCTTGCCAAAGCAGCCTATCCATATTTACATACATACATACGTGAAATAAAAATTAGGTAAATACCACTTTTAAGAAAGAATAATGTAAGAATGGGATTGAAGGAAATATCTTAATGGAAACATCTGATTCAAGCACATCTGTAGCAGTTAACTATAAGTATTAGCATCAAAGCAAATACTGAATCACACAGTGTTAGAGAAAAGTAAACCACTCAGGATAATTCCAGTCTTCTATCTAAAATAGTAATTTCCAAATTTTGGAAGAGCAATTGGGCCAGGACCTTATTATCGACTTCCAAGATATAAGATAAAGGTTTTACACAGACGCAAAGCATTATAAAAGCACTACTGTAATAAATATATTTTAAGAAAAGCATAAAACAGCTGAAGCCAGTGATGGAGCCTAGAGGCAAAGCCTAACATCAACATTTTAACAGAGCCTAGTGTATCATCCAGATAAGTAAGTCTTTGCATAAAAACATGAATTCCCAGAAACTCTTCCAATAGTATTATGTGGTAGGATATGTAAACTGAATAGTTACAACTCTTCACATACAAGTATTATAAAAAAATTCATATGTGAACATCAAAAACTATTCATCCATTTATCCATCCCTTCATCCATGCAACAGACAAGCTCTAGAAACACAAGAGTGAAGGCTCCCCTAAATGAAGCACAGGTTCTAGCACAGAAAACAGGGATAATTAAGTTTTAAAAAAGTGAATTTGCCAATATCTAAACAGAAAAACTATGAGTGGAAACATAAAAGTCAAGTCTCTTATAGCTGGAAACACTTCCCTGGACAAAATTCAGTTCAAGAAAAGGGAAAGAAATGTACCCAAGGTCTATGCCTTCTATACTGTACCTCCCTCCTTGGCAGGAAATGATTAGAGTTGAAGAAACAGGAGAAAGTGGCAGGAAGAGAGGAAAGATTCAGGCAGAAGTGTGTATTAGTACCAGGTGCACAGAAGGAGAAACCAGAAGTTAGAACTTCTCTGGTGCACATATGCTTTAAGCGGGGGTGAGAGTGCAGTCAATGGTAAGGAAAGACCCTGGGGACTAAAGTCTGGATTCCAGCTGAAAGCACCAGTTCTAGTACTTGTTAGCTGTGTGACTCTCATCATGTGAAAAACCTCCTAAGCCCTTTACCAGGAAAATGGAGATGGCGACATTGGCTCTCTGTCTCTGAGTACAGTGATGACTGATACCAGCAGACAAAAAAGTATCAGCTGGTTTTACTCCCACCTTCTCTAGAAGCCTCACATTACATCTTTGTAAAGCACTGACAATGATTTTCTAAGTCATCCCACAGTGCTGTTTTGAAGATATATATATATATATATACACACACACACATGATGTAGAATATTAAACAGTGATTCTTTGACTTTTTTCTTTGCTTGTGGCTCTGGGATCACCAGTCTTATTTGCTTGTTTGTTGCGGTACAAGGGACTGAACCCAGGGGTAATCTACCACTCAGATCCATCTCCAGCCCTTTTTACTTTTATGTTGAGGCAGGGTTTCCCGATGTTTCTCAGGCTGGTCTAGAATTCTTAATCCTGATTCGGTTTTCTGAGTAGCTGTGAATACAGGCTTCTACCGCCATGCTTCGCATCCTCCTTTTTTTTTTTTTTTTTTTTAAATAAATAGTAAATTAGTAAAGAAAACGCAGGAATCAAATATTTTTGTATTTCTAATAATATTTTTGAATCTAATAATATTTTTGAAGGTTTTTGAATCCATGTTGATTTTTTTCTTATTTTTACAAGCCTGCAGTATCAAGGAATTTCACCATGGGGGTGCTATTTCTCCACTAACCAGAGAAGTTTATTTTTGTAACAGGCAAAGGGAAAGCACACATCCAGAGTAGAGAAAATACCTAGCAGTATGTCCTGGGATACAGCAGGAGGAGTATTAAATCAATAAGAAAGCTCTTAAAATATTGTGTTATTTGGTATGCACAGAATTGGACAGCTCTCCAGGAAACCACCTCTAGGGGCTTTACAAACAATGGTGATTTTATTTACTTACTTCCAATCTTGTTTTTTCCTCAGCTTTAGTAAGGGGTAAGTGACCAAAAAAGATCTATGTTTAAAGTGTACAACTTGATGCTTTGATATATTATACATCATGAAATATCACCACAATAAACCTAGTTAACTTATCTATCATCTCAGTTACCTTGTTTTAAAAAACAGAATCCAGCTCCACCTTAGATTATAAACCATGTGATGCACCCAAACTACTGGAATGTCTGTCCTGATAATTTTGAGTAGATACAGACAAATGTTTTAGTATCCAGCTCTCTCTTTAAATATTCTGTCAGCAAAAGAAGCATTACATTACCTTATGACAGACAAAGTTAAAATCAATTAGGTTATGGCTTGCTTTAGAATAACTGCATTTTAGATTGGCGGCTTCCAGATGAGACTTTGTCATTTTCAGGAAGAGACTCACAGATGGCCAATCCTTTCAAAGTTGTTTTGATTCGCGCTAGCTCAAGTCTATTGTGACATTTTGACATCTGTCTTGTACTCACAGGGGTGGGGTAATTACTGCTCACTGAATCCTGGTGCTCCTATACCCGCCCTCCAAACACCTCCTCCACAGCACTCAGGCTGCGCACCTGACTTGTTTTATACATGGGTCATTCAGAAAGTAGCTGTGCTGTGATTAAGGACAGCATAAACACAGTGATAATTCCTTCTTTCACAGCTGCCTTCTGGAATACCTCCCTGTACAGAGAATAGGAGTCTTTATCTTTTTAAGTATTGAATTCCTTATAGGGGCAATTCTTAGTATGTAAAATTAAGAAAAGATGTTTTAACAAACCTAAAGCCTGTAAGTTTTCTTAGCTTTTCTGAAACCGTAAGATAGTAGGATTCTACTTTTTATACTCATGAAAAGCCTCACTATGAAATTAACTATTTGAGCTTTCCTACTTGAAAGTGACTAAAAGTAAGTAGTATCAACATAGTCTTCTACCTATGAAATAATGGAGTCCTTGGAGTAAGTTATTCAGATTTTAAAAACTTTTTCACTCACTCAAAAAATATCTTTATTGAGTGTCAACTTGTGCAAGCGCTGTTCTCTATCTCAGGGATCAAATGGTGGACTAGACCAGATGACCAGGAAGTGCCTGCCTTCAAGGGGGTTTATAGTGAGTGCAATTTAAATGGTTTTAAAAAAGACTTCAGTGTGCCATTTTCAGCCCAGGTTTAGAATCTCTTTTACCTGTCCAGCATTTTGGTACTGGCTCGCTCCAGCTTCTCTAGTATCTGAGGAAGTTGGGTGTCATCATCATATGAACCTCCCCAGCCAAGAACTCGAGCAAGGTCATTGCCTGTGCCCAAGGGCAGCACTCCCAGCTGACACTATAACAGAGTGCAAAGGAGAGACTTTCAGATATGGTGCGCACTGGGCCTGCTACATTTCTGCATCTCTCTGGCCAAGTATGTCAGTACGCATCCACGTAAACTAGCAAAGAAAAAGAATTAGTACTTGCCTGTTTATTCAGGTTGAGCTTATCAATTTCTGACAAAACCCAACCTACACTTCCATCTCCTCCACAAACAAGAATCCGGAAATTGTCAAACTTCTGAAATAATCTTAAACTGAAAGTAAAATTATTTTATGTTAGTATAATAAAAATCATTTTTCTCAATTCTTTGTCATTATGATTTCCTTGGCAGTTTTATTTCCAGATTAAGTATAAGAAATTTTACTCACATAATAATTTTTATATTAATGATTAAAATTTATTAAAATTAATTTGAGTGCAATTTGAGTGCAAGAGAATTTCTAAATGATAAGAAAGCAAATTATAGGCAGAAATAGAGACAACATTAGAAGGAAAGGGGATTGAGAAATGAGAGAACAAACAAAAAGGAAGCAGAACCAGGAAGGAGAACTACTGGTAAAGTAGTATGAAATGGTAAAAGTAGTGGTTTTTCTCTTTCCATTATAAGGATGTTATTCCCTTAATAATTAAAAACCGGAGGAAGGGAATTTAGGATGGGATGCTACTGAGCTGCATCAAGTCAGTTCCTGAATAGAGCCAGGCATGGTGGTGCACTCCTGTAATCCCAGCACTCAGGAGGCTGAGGCAGGAGGATCTTCTGAGTTCAAGGCCAGCCTGACCTACATAGTGAGACCTTGTCTCAAAAAGACAAAAAAAAAAAAAAAAAAGAATCCCAAAGCTTGTCAGCAGATGGTCCTAAGAACTGTCAACTCCCTGTCTGGTCCTTCCCTCTTCCTCTCAGGCCAATCCTTTTACTTCTAGCTCCTTTCACCTCAACTTTGACACATTCCATCTCCTGACTGTGCCTATCTAAACCTGAAGTACTATGGAAAATCTGAAAAATATATTGTAGAAACCATCTCAAGAAATGTCACAAAGACAGGTCCTTGGAGGCTTGGAGGATGAATGGGAAAAATAACTATCATGATTGTAAGAGGGGTCTGTGGGCACAATTCTGTGTAGAACACCAGCTTACGTGCATGAGGCCCTTGGCCCTCCCTAGCAGCAATATAATTTAAAAGTTAAAAACAAAAGATAATGGAACTGTGTGTTTGAAAGGGAGACAAAGTTATCCAAGAACAGAAGAGACAAGGGAGAGAAGAGAGGTTCCAGGGGGAAATGACAGAAGGCCAGTGGGAAAGGAAGGGGTGTTCAAGTGGGGAAGGAAGAGGCTGGGTATAAACAAACACAACACCCCGGTGAGCAGACAGTTTGGGACTCGGCAAGAGAAAGCAATGGAACTGAACAGAAGACCTTAGGGCACAAAAGTGACAAGAGGCACAAAAAAAGACTGAGAGAAAAACAGAAGAAAGAAGAAAGTGTCAAATTCAAAATACAAAATGCTTTTCTAGGCATTGGAATCTATATTCTCCATCTCCACCTCTGTAAGCAGGCTTCAAGGTCATTAGAACACATGGGAAAACTGGGATGGCCTAAGGAAACTACAGAAATTGAAGGTCCCTCTACTGGAAGACAAGCGTCGCCTCTCAAGAAGTCCTATACATAGCCTGAAGGCTATGAGTTGTGTCTCAATGAAAACATGACTTAATTTTTTTCAGATCTGAAGTTATACAACATTCTAGAAAGGTGAAAAGAACACTCAACAAGGCCTTTCTTTGGAATTTATGTGAACTGAATCTGAAATCCTGAAGAACTGTCCTTGAGAAATCAGTATCAGCCTTCTATGCAAATAATTTTATATGTATATACTATGACTGTTTTTGGAGCTCAACAAATTATTATTGTTTAATTTAAGATATGTTCTAAATTATTTTCTAAACAAATTTTGGAATTTGGAAATTTCAGTAAAAAAAAATCTGGATTTCATATAAAGAAGTTGAATAACTGTCAAAAAGACTGGGTTAAAACTTATCATCAGAGTGATAGCACATGCCTGTAATCCCAGCATTCAAGAGCGTGAATCAGGAGGATTGCCGTGAGTTCAAGGCCAACCTGGGCTATATAAGGAGTTCAAAGCCAGTCTGCACTATATAGTGAGACCTTGTCTAAACAAAAACAAACATCTTTTAATCAGAAGAGCTTTAAACAAGGGAGGGGGTGGAAGATGGACATAGAAATGACTAGAAGAATCTACAACTTTCAAGAGCTGAGAAGTTAAGACATTTCACACCTAATGCTACATTTTTTAAAAATAAGATTTATCAGTAATGAATTACCCTAGGGCCGGCGATATAGCTCGGTGGCACAAGCGCCTGCCTGGCAAGTACAAGGTCTTGAGTTCGATTCGTGGTACCAAAAAAAAAAAAAAAGAAAGAAAGAAAAAAAAAAAGAACTTCTTACCCTAAATGAGGACCTCCATTCATTAAATCAAACACCTGAGCTGGATTCAGCAGCTGTTTAAAACGACGAAGGAACTTTACTCCCTGATTATCTCCACTCTTAGAGTTGACAAAAACCAAGAGAGGACTAACACAGAATGAAAATGTTGCTCTACAGAAACCTGTTAAAAAGAAAAAGTACAAGATCAGCACATACAGCTTCTCTCTCACACCCACAATTCAGAAAAAAGATAAATTCATAAATTACCTTATCTATTGTTGGAATATCCAATTACAATTTAGCCCTCTAAATGCAGATAGGCTTACCACTTATATACTAAGAATATAGCTTACTTTTTAAAAATACACTGTGAACTGAGTGTGGTGACACACACCTATAAACCTAGCACTCCAGGTGGCTAAGGCAGGAGGACTGCAAGTTTGAGGTCAGCCTGGGCAACTTAGTAACTTTGTCAGACCCTGTCCAAAACAATTTTTAAAAAAGGTTTGGGCGTATATCTCAGTGCAAAGACCCCTGACTCAATAAATAGTCACAGACACACACACACACACACGAACCTTATTTATTACTCTATAATGAAAAATCATATTAAAACTGGCAAAGTACACAGATACTCTGAGAATATTACTTGTTCTTAATTATAAGAAAAACTACAGCCTATGAATACACATTTGTCAAAGAACCCATATATTTATAATTAGTATTTTAAAGTACTAATTAATAATACTAACTGCTCAGCATTTACAAACAAATAAGCTGAAAGACTGGAAAAAGTGAATATATTTATAGGAATATAAATGACAAGAAACAAATTTTAGTAATAGCCATGGCATTCAATTATGGTGAGAAAAAATTTAATCTTTTTAGACTGCATTTCAAAACAGAATAATGGTCTTTATTTATTTAAAGGTAAAATCTAACGATCTTACACATGGTAATTTCACCAATGTGTGCATAGCTATTTTACAAATTCCATTTAAAATATTCTTTTAAACAATAAATGTACTGTTCAGCAATTTAAGTTATAGAAAAACTGATCAGAATAACCAATTACAGTTATATTTATTCTAGGGAAATAAATGTATGCATCAGCATTAAATATACCAGAAATGAATGTACTTACACGACCATTACATACCGTCAGAGTCAGTGCTGTTCAGTGCAATTGGAGGTATGATAGATACTTTACATTGGCCAAGTGGACATACAGGGTGGTATAAATCTTTGCAGGCAGTGTGTACCTAATAACAAACAAAGTTTCTGTAATGTAGTGGTTATCACGATCGCCTGACAAACAAATAAACCTTCAAGAATCATAAAGACAAGTCAACGTTTTGCTGTTATAAATTGAAGCTATAGAACTAACCATTTAGGATCAATGGCATCACAAAATGTTCAGTAATTCATAAATTACTTTAATGTCACAATATTTATACTTCCAAGGAACAGACTAAGCATATTACAGATGGGAATTTGATTTGGGTTGTGCAGCCTGTTTGTGTGATTGTCTCAAACAAGACAGATATATAGATAGATAGATACATACATACATATATACATGAATGCCTGATGAAGGCAAAGAGAGAAAAATAGAAGAGAGGATGCCCGAAGAAATAAAAGGGAAGAAAGAAGAGAGAAAGGCAGTGAGGAAGAAATAAAGAAGCACTGAAAGAGAGAGAAAGGAGGGACACTAACCATATGTCAATATCACGTTCGTAGAACAAACTGACTGCATCTACCTTACAAAAATTCTCATCAAAACTAACGAACAACTGAAACCCCTCATGTGTTCGTGCTCTGTCTGCAGCGGTCCTGTGCCTTTCACTCACATTTTTCATGGCAGTTTGTAGTATGAGTTACACGCACATCAATGCCTATTATCTCAGCGGAACTGCTGCTCCATATGGAAAAGGAGTGACACACATTAAGACTACAGCACATGTGCTCACTCTGTAGAAACAAAAAGCTCCAAGGTCACTCAAGATGCTGTGCAGTATAGAGCAGGGCTAGCTTACCAAGTAGAGCTGGACTACTCAGGTAACTATATTTACCTAGAAAGTCTTTTAACCAGCAAAAGCAGGTATTTCCTGAACCATTTATTTTATCTACCTTTATTTCATTAGTTTTTTAAGAAAACTGGCATACTAATTAAACTTCCATTTATTAAAACTTTTGGGAAGATATCCGAAATGTAATTGTGATTTTTATTTTACTGGTGACCTCATTTGTATCACTTTCCTATTATGATTTATAATAATTTAAACTAGTATGCATGGATAGTTTTGAAAGGAGTTAAAATGTGGAGAATCGTTGGACAAAAGAGATAATTACAATAATGTTAAGTGAGAAAAGCAGAAGATAATTTGCATCTTCACTATATTTAAAATTAGGAGTTGAATCATTTCAGTTGTGAACTATGGCCTTTGCAAGTGGGTTTTTTTGTTGTTGTTGGGCTTCGTTTTTGACTGTTTACAGCAATACATGGCCTATATCTTAGAAACTTTTTTTTTTTTCAGTGCTGGAAAACAAATCCAGGTGTGCTTTATCAAGCTGTTTACTTTGAGGCAGGGTCTCTCCTAAAGTGCTCAGGCTAACTTTGAACTTGTGATCCTCCTGCTTCAGCCTACAAAGTATAGGAGATCAAAGGTGCTTGCCATCATACCTGCCTAGAAACTCATATTTTCTATAATTTAAAATTTTTAAAATTTTTATTAGTACATGTTTGCAGTACATCATGATTATTATGTTCATTGTAGGGAATTGCTATGTGTACATAACACATTTCAATTCTTTTCTTTTCCTTTTCCCTTCACCTATTTTACCTTTCTGCCAGAAACAGATTCATTTACTTGTTTTATGTCTTTATCAAGTTAATTATGATAAACAGACATTAACAGCCAGATGAACAGGTCAAAAACTATAAAATATGTAAGACAATTATAATAAATCAAGGTACCATTTCAATCATTGGTCATGCTGGTTTACAGTAACTTTTTTTTTGTTTTGAGACAGGGTCTCACTATGCAGTTCAGGCTGGCCTTGAGCTCACTTTGTAGCCCAGACTGGCCTCAAACTCACAACGATCCTCTTGCCTCAGCCTCCTGAGTGCTGGGATTACAGGTGTGCGTCACCACACCCCGCTACAGTAACTTTTTCTCTTTTTTTCCTATCATCTGTCTTTCATTTGCATTTCATTTATTATATATTGGGTTTCTTACATAAGAGAAACCACACAATGTTTAAGCCTGTATGTCTGATTTACTTCACTTAATATTAACATTTACTTTATTAACATCTCAAGGTGCGTCCACTGTCCTACAAACAACTCAAGTCCACCTTCTCTCTGGCACAGCACAACAGTGTGGGAACAGCCAATGATACTGTGTGGCAGTGTAAGACCAAGAAGAGTGGTTATGGAGGGTGGTGACAGGAAACGGCATGTCTAACACAGGGTGCAGCGGGAATGGTGTCACAACTAAGTGGGGTCTGAGTTTGCCAAGAGAAAAGAGACAGAACACATTCCAGCATGTCTGCACACCATCTGTAATAACAGTGACATTCTGTTTGCAAAAATTTTTAAAGTTAGAGGTGAACAGAATGAATAAGTAAAAAACCTACTGTTAAGGTTAATAGTGTTTAGAAACTACTGGCTAAATATGTGCACGCCTACATATACAGGTAGAGATAACTGGTATGAAATCTTTCCAAAGCATTCATCTCACACATGCTATGTTTTATTTCAAAGAAATTAGAAATGAACAGCTGAAGCTCATGGAGTAAAGATATAAACTTCAGTAAATACATGTACTGCTGATAAAAACAGTAGGAAATGACATTAATGCTTATCCCTAAACAAAGGAATAGGATAATTTAAAATCTTCTTTATAGGCAGCATTCCTTTAAAGTAAGAATGGCGTTAAGAGGCCTTTAGGGGATAACGATACACTCAAGAGTCCAAAAAGCAGACACCTATTACAGTCTACATAGAAAGTGAAATAAAAGAAATAAAAATCAACACAACTACAGCAAATAAAAGAGACAGCTGATGAAGAATAACAAAATTATGAGCACAAACAGACTCATTTAATTTAAAAACTAAAAGGAATCACAGACAACTTACCAGGCCTCACAGAAAAGCTGTAAGACTTACTTTCCTCCGGGGCCTAAGCAGTCCATCTGACTGTTAGGAAATCAATATACCACATTCACATCTCTCGGGTCTGCTGATCTATACCAAAACTTACCAGAAAGATTGGTTTTCCCTTATTGGTAAACATGAGGCTGATTTCCAAACTTGGACCAGTGACTTTAAAAGACTAGTCAAGACTGAAGCTATTAATCGAGTCTGTCTCAACTTAAGCAGTGTCACTGCAGGACAGCACAGACCAGTGACAAAACAAGAAGAGCATGGACAGGAACAGCATCCTAGTCCTGAGGTCATTTAGCCCCATGCCACCATCTGCATGTCCTCTTTCTCTGACTGTCTTCATGTAATCCAGATGCTCTGCCCTCCAAAGCGGTTTACATGAAACCATTCCTTGCCGCTGACTCACATTATGTTGTATGTGCTTTTTACCTCCTTCTTGCATGGGCAAAGATGGTTTCAAATGTTTATTTGTATAATATAAACATACACGATTTAAATCATATCAGTGCATAGCTTACTAGATATAGGGGGCTGCACCAGATTATATTTTTAATGGCAACTAAAATCTGGTGATATACCAGAAACAGGCCTGCTGTGTACATTAGGTGGTAAAATAGGCCTGTAGATAGCAAACCACTGCACAGGGAAAGCAAAATGGAAAACGAAACCATGGGAAGGAGATATGGAGAAACATCACAATTCCAAACTCTCACCATTGTTTTACACCAAAGGCATTTCCAATCTTGAAGACGAAGAACACTGCCACACGTTTTGTCACAGACAGCACACTTGGCGCTCACAGGCAAGTTGCCCTCCAGCCACTGGTGAGGCATCGCAACCTGTGGGGCATGGAGAAAGGGCAGCCAAGGTAAAGACTGTGGAGGACACCATTCCTACCCTAGGAAGATATGAAATGGCTGCTTACTCTGTGAACTCAACAGTACATATCAGGCATGGTATTCACTCATCTATTCTCACATTTACTGAGCATCTACTATGCCTGACCCTGCTAGAATACAAAGGTGAGTAAGACAAAAGCGCCCCCCCCCCCCCCCCCCCGCTTTGGGATTCAGGCAGAGGTCTAGCTGAGAAGAAAAATATGATTACCAAGGGCTACCAGAGATGTGGAGGCCAGGTACAGCAAAAGCAACACTTCAAAGGTGGGAGTTATGGCTGAGAGGAGACCCAGAGTCTGAAGAGTAAACATCTCTGCTGGGCTTTAAAGATCACGGAGCTTAGCAGGTGAGAGCAGAACACCAGTCCCACCCGGCAGTCACTCCTAAACCCACTCATGATCAGTATTCCTCAAAATACAAGAGCTGAGGAAAGCTATGAAGCAATGATTTGAAAATAAAAACTCAGGGGGCTGGGGATTTAGCTCAGCGGCAAAAGCGCCTGCCTGGCAAGCGCAAGGTCGTGAGTTCGGTTCCTGGTACTGGAGAAAAACAAAAAAAAACAAACAAAAAAAATAAATAAAAACTCAGAATCAACGAATATCTTCTATTTAATCCCAATAATGAACACTGTTGCTTAACTATCATTATTTTCCATTCTCACTTATCTGTCTATCATTGTTTTCCAGAAGCACAGACAAGCATAGGGGAGGGAGAGGGGTGAAGTGTGAGACAGAAAGCAGCTTACTCCATCTTCATCCTCCATGATGTCCTTCCCGATGGAGGCCAGAGTCGTCCACTTGCAGTTATTTGTTGCCCGCACAGCGCATCTTTTGTGAGCCTTGAATTTGCACACTAAAAATAATAAAGTAAAATAAGCTACCACTTTAAAGTGAACAAGTTCTTTTCCACCAAGGGTTAAAGGAACTCAGAGCATAAAATTTTGAAAGACTGAAAAGGAGAAAAGAAAATAAATGTTTTAAAACGTTTAAATTAATCTCCAATGATGGTTAATGGTATTTTTAAAAGCTCATATGGCTTTGTGCTTATGAAGTACTTACAAAGTTAACAGATTGTTATTACTTAGAAGAACAGAAATGAAATAAATACAAAAGAATTAGTTCTTGAGGAGAAGGGAGAAACATGCACCTACACAAACACAAATAAAATACAGTAACCAGGATTCTGGAAAATCCTACTTCTTACTCGGAGTGCTGATTACCTGAATGTATTTAATTTGAGAAAATTCATCGAGCTGTACAGCTCTGATATCTGCACTATATTGTGTGTGTGTATCTATATCTATCTATCTATCTATCTATCTATCTATCTATCTATTTTTTTTGTACCAGGAATCAAACTTAGGACCTTGCACTTGCCAGGCAGGCACTTATGCCACTGGGCTATATCCCTGGCCGCTGTATGTATATTTGTATTATTAGGTTTGAAAACATCAGTAACATAAAGATAATTCTGGGGAGTTTTGAAGTGGAAGAAAACAACCAGGCATCATGGGAAATGGGTTGATGAGAGGCACAAAGCGCAGTCTTTCAGAAGTACTGCATCAAGGGGGACTGTATCATAAATGCAGGAGGAAAGAATGATGACGTAATGTCTCCACTGCAGCCTTCACTAATTCTTCCTAGCCATATTATCATAAAGGAGTTTATGAAAAGAGGAATAAGAGGAAAGAAGCAGGAAAGGAACAGCACATAAAAGGGAAAAATAAGGAAAGCATAGGTTAATGGAAAAGCTAATCATGCTTTTGAAAACCAGAAGTCAACTACTACTAAATACATGTATTCTTCTAATGATACAAATTCTCCAAGCATTAGTGGATGCTCAAGATACATCAGTTCCTGGCTGATTATTTATCTAAAAAAGATAAATAGATAAAAATAGAGATCACTTCAGTGGAATTTTTTCTCTTTAATTCCTTTTTTCTTTTTTTGGTGTTTTTGAGACAAGGTTTCACTATGCAGTTTAGGCTAGCCTTGAACTCACTTTGTAGCCCAGGCTAAACTCGAACTCGCAGCAATCCTTCTGGCTCATCCTCCCAAGTGCTGGGATTACAGGCATGTATCACCACACCCAGCCCATTTCAGTGGAATTTAATAAGGTAACTGTTCTAAATTTAAATGCAAGATGGTTTTTCTTCATATGATTTTTTAAAAATTCTAACAATCATTAATAAATTTTGAATGATGATTTACATACTATTCATTCTGAAGTATCCTAATTTGATATGTATGAAAAGGAAAGGTTCAGGTCAAATAACTAAGATATCTGTAAATCAAGTGTTCAAAATGCCTCAAGTTACCATGACAAGCCCACTTACAGTCTAGTCTGTCATTAAAAAATATAGTCCATACACATTTGAAATACTTCATTTAGTGCCTGTTATGTATACTTTGAAAAATTCTTCAGGACAATAATATTCTTTATAACTATGTGATTCAGTCATGAACTTCATGTAGAAAATGATTTTTAATTAAATTTTGTTGATGATAATAAGGGTGAAGACAAAACACTGTCAGAAGTAAGTTTAGCTTGGAAAACATTTCTTGCATATCTAGAGCTTAGGGTATTTCTCAAAAGTGGTGCCCTAAAACTTAGAAGGATACAGGTACCTTGTAAGTACAAATATGTATTTGACAGTACTAGTCAATATCTGATTTTTAATAGGGAAGAGAAGGACATAAAAGTGTAACAGGGTATAATTTCATGCTGCCTCCCCCACCTGGTGCTCAGGATTAAAGCCAGGGCCTCACATGTTAGGTACTAGGCAGCCAGCCCTTTCATGGCTTTATTAAAAACCTGACATTACAGATCAAACAGCTCATCAAAAATAAAATCACTTTTGTAATGAAGTGTTTCATGCAATGAGCCTTGTGAATTACAAAGTAGCTTATTATAACATATAATAATAATAACAACAATAATAATAATAATGGAGGGGGAAGGCAAGAGGGGGGAGAAGAAGCCAGGCTGTTTATTATGGTCACTAACAAATGGAAGTGATTAATGGGCACTTTAATTTTGTTGACTGGTAATTAAATTTCTCTTACAAGTTATTCTGAAATAACGTACTTTTACCTGACTTGTGAAGACAGTATTTAAACCCAGAGTGCTTAAAAACATAATGTATGACACAATTATGCTTTTGGTTGCAATATTTAGTCTTTACCACAGTGAGTTTTTGTGTTAAACTAAAGATAAAAATTCCTAAGTACCAGGTATCCATGTTAACATGTTTGGTGTTGCTGATTTAAAAGAAAATTGTCATTTGACTTTTTTGTGAAGTTACTATTTACCATGAAGGAGAATTATGCTCTGAAATTATAATTAACATTCACAATAAATTTAGGAATTATGAAAACCATCTTATGCCTATTTTTAGTCACATTTTATATTTGTAAGACTTCTAAAATTTTAGTCATAGCCGAGTGTGGTGGCACACACCTATAATCCTTGCACTTGGGAGGATCATTGTGAGTTCGAGACCAGCCTGGGCTACAAAGTGAGCTCAAAGCCAGCCTGAACTGCACGGTAAGACCCTGTCTCAAAAAGATAAAAAAAAAAAATTTTTTTTTAGTCATTACTCAACACAAATCTAGAAGACAAATCAGCCTAGCCTCACTCTATTGTGAAAAACAGGAACAGAAAGGGCCAATAAATTTAGTAATGGCTTCATTGGACTTCACTCCAACATAGAGTTACTGTCACTATTAAATAAATTTGTATTGCATTTCCATCTCCAATACAACTTGCTTTTATGGTGCTAAAATTGAACCCAGGACCTCCATGTTAGGCAAGCACTGTAATTCTGAACTACATCCCTAGACCTTTCACTCTAAGTTTTAAAGCCCATAATTCCAGCACTTGGGAGGCTGAGGTGGGAGGATCACTGCAAATTTGAGACCATCCTGGGTTACAAAGTGAGCTCAAGGCCAGCCTGAGCTGCATAGCAAGACCCTGTCTCAAAAAGACAAAAAAAAAAACCCTAAGTTTTAAAGCCTCTTGTATCCTGTGTTTTATTAGGCAAGTAGTTTATCAATATCTGAGGAAAAGCTTTACAGTTTAATTTTAATTATGATAAGAACATCCAGAGTAATCATATTCTCAGTAAAAAGGCAACTTTTTTACACTTATAAAAAATGTGGGATTTTTAAAAAAACTTATGCTATAGTTCTAAAAATACAAATGTGCAAGATATCACAGATTTAAAATTTTATTACCAGTAGCAGACTAATATATAATCTTCTAAACAAATTTTTAAATCCAATGACAGACTTTTTTAAAAAGTCAGCAAGAGTACATTACTTACAGACAGATATAACAAATTTATACAAAGACTTAAATTTCTTATTATTGCCAACTTAATTGTTTTTTACTTTTCTACTAAAATGTTTAGAAAAATATTCATTTTATTACTGACTCAATTATTATATAATTAAATGTATTTAATATGTCAATCTCAAATTAGAAGGATATGACAGAGCACTTCAGACTTGGGGTTTTTTTTTAGTATTTTTGGGGTGAGAGATTAGAAGAAAGTATCTAAGAGATCTTCAAAATAACATGACGTAATATTACAAACCTGGAAGGATTTTTCAGATTCACATGAACCTTTTGGGATTACTAAAGTCAGAAAGGCCAAATTTATCTTTGTTTCCAATCATTCCCTAATAAATGTTTAATGACTTTTCCAAATTTTCACTTTCATGAATTTTAATGCACCAAGTCTACATGTAACCTGAACTTACACAATGTGTTAGGTAAATTTCTTATAGAGCACAGTTACAAACTTCCATAATTCATTTGACTAGAAAAGTAATTTTATTGGATGTATTCTCTCATTTAATTTTTATAGGGATTCTAAGAGGTACAAAGGACTATTATCTTCCTTTGACAGACAAGGAAAGGAGACTGAAAGTGCGTTTAGCTCTCTCTCCTGGTAATCATTTGTAATGGTGGTGGTGGAAGAGAGTTTCCACACAGGTCTGTTTTTTTCTGTTCCTTACCCCAGGCTGCATTGTCAGAAATATGGCTATCACAGATTTCATCATTTAAAATCAAGGAAAAATGTGACTATCATTTATCATTAGTTATACTCAAAATCACTTAAGATATTTTTGTATTAGAGAAAAAAGCTAATGTTGGTATCCTGCATGGTTCTAAAAACAATATATATATTTCCATACCTCATCACTGAGGTACAAAATTAAACCTAAGGAAGTTTTAGGTAATTATTATAGTATTTATCTTTGATAGTTACTGGTCTTAAAATTAAAAATGACTCACAAATCCTATAGTGAAAACAACAGCATGTCTTATTTTTAGAAAAAAAAAAAAAAAAAAATTAACACAATGACATCAGGACACAGGGTATAGTTCAGTAGTTCAGAGCTTGCTTTGCATGCATGAGACCCTGGTTGGATCCCTCATAATGCAAAACTAAGTCATAAATTAGATGACATTCATTTAAATAAATCACAAAGAAATATTCCAGTAATGCAATAGAAATAACAATCAATAATCTTGCCACAGAATATAAACTGTCCTGACTAAAAGTTTTCTTCTCCAATATCAATCAGAGTAAAGAATTACTCTAATGTACGAAGTCCAAAAATTTTTTTAGATGGTAGTTCCTAATTCCTTAGGGAGTCATACTGTATTTTGATTTACACTTCCTTTAAGAGGATTCTATGTTATCTTTCCCAGAGCAACAGTGCTTCCCAAATTAGTCCTATGTATGCAAAACATAACACTGAGCTACAACAAGGCTTGAACACTGTGTTCAAGCTGAGATGCTCCCAGCCATGGGCAGCATTTTCCTGTGGGGACAGTGTCTGTTCTCCTTAAAACAGTACAAAACCAACAGCGGCATGTCTATGCTACTGTTCCTACAGGGACAGCACACAAACTGGGTGTACAGTACCTTCACAGGACAGGCCATGGGAAGTGACTCCAGAGAGGCTCTCTCGGCACACGTTGCAGAAGGTGGGGCGGGCATGGGAGCAGGCGTACCAGTTGTGCATCCCTGAGAAATGCTCCACATTAAACTGGGCCACCTAGAAAAGAGATGTAGGACAGATGGGCAAAGCAGGACAACAAGGTAAGACATGCCCAACTACTTGGAATGTAATACTGTAGTTAAATTTGCAAATCCATTACGTTTAACACCAAAGCACTTTAAGTAAAAAAAGAAAAAAAAAAGTCTGGCTTAAACAAGTTGCTGAATGGATCTATACTTACCTTTTTTGGGGGAGGGGACCAGTACTGCTTTAGCTCTTTGCTTAAGGTTTATGATCTAAGAACAAAAAACAACAGGGAGATGTTGTTTTACCTCGTAAGCTTCTCTGGTCTGTACAGACTTTAGTGAGCTGATCCAATCCTCCATCTCTTTTCTGTTCTCAGCACACAGCATTAGCCTCCTGAATGGAGTGATTATCTGAAAGGGATACTTCAATATAATGACTGCTAGCAATCAACATGAGGAATTAATGGAAAGCCCAGGATCTGAGAAGGCAGTTCCAGTTCTAACATGATCATTTTATTTCCTTTGTGAACAAAATAAGAATCTCAGTAACACAGGTGAATTTTGTTCTCTGCGTATGATGTAACGTGTTAGAGAAAGGAAAATTTTTGGAATTTTTTGTCTTTGATCCCAGTACTATTTCTGTTAATCAGGTTTTTGTGGGTCTTTTTTGCCATTTTGTAAAGGCTATGAGCCCAAATAAACAAAGTATTCATATTTCATGGAGCATATATTAAGAATTGATTTTAAATATACTTCACAGTACATATAATTAACTTAGAACTAATGCATAATTTCCAATATAAATATACTTTTTAAATAGAAAAAAAATCAAAGAAATACAATATTAAATGGTTTTTAAATTGATTTACTATGGTATGAAAACTGTTAATCGTCAAGTAATGTTGAGTTTACACATCATTTCTACTGTCTACTTAGATATGATTTATATGAAGGATTTCTTTCCTTATTATGTAGAAACCCACTGTATTATTTTTATTGGAGCAGGGAGGAAGAATTAGCATAAAAATCCTTCAGTTGTCTTTAAGGAAGAAAATAATTGTGACTTTCATCTTTTTTTTAATGCTTCTAACTAAAATAAGCAAGCTGATTGTATTAAGAAACTTAAAGCAAGTGGAATGAAACCTTCAAGCTGTTATAGCCCAAAAATTGCTTCAAAGATTCTGAACTGACTTCAAAGAAGCCCTTATTTGCAACTAAATACACTGGTTACAATGAAGTTATTAAAACCTAAACAGTTTTGCAAAAGAGGAACCATTTCGGTATTTTAGAACAAGAGCAAAATGTTGCAATCATAGCTGGCAACTGCTCCCAAAAAACATCACAGATTTATTTATATAGCAAATGTAACACTTTCCCAGGTTAAGTAATAAATCTAAGTGTTATACCATATTATAGAACAGATTTCACAAGCAATGGAAAGAAAATAACCATCTGTAAAAAATAAGGACCCCTTATTAAAAGAAGGAAACTAGTGAGCTTAAATCATTGCCATTGGTCTTAGAAAGTAAGTCTGCATTTCCAAGCGATACAGAAGTCTGCACAATCTTAGCCACTCACCGGTCATTGCTTCTCCTTATGTCACTCACTGGTTTAGGCCACACTGTCCTTGAGGAAGCCCAGAAGCTTTTACTACATCTGAGGAACACTTGCACTTACATACAGTCTGCCAAAGGCCACGTGGTACAAGGACTCCAACCGCTGCTTGTGGGCTTTGTGAACGCAGATGAAATCAAAGAGAACCTCACTTTGGCAAACCTCACTTTGCATTTTCTTTTGTTTTAAATGACCCTCTTTGGATAAAGCTTATTAGCAACTGGTCACTTCTCTTCCTGAATAAATAGTTAATGTGAAGAGCAATGCTTCCCTCATTACTTAGGAGCCAAATGGATACTTTATTGCTTCAAAATGTTCTTCTAGGACAGCTCATCAAATGTAGCAGAGAGGAACCATTAAATTGTAATACACTCCTAGCCCCAACAATTGGTACAGCATTCTAGAAATCTCCTGAATCACTGATGTCATCTGAATAAGTACTGCCTCTAGTGTTTGTTTATTTTTTGCTATCCTATATGATGGAACTATAAGGATTCCCTCCCTTTTATTATGGTTTTATCTTGAGAAAAACACTTTCACACAAACTAAGCTGACTGTTTCATTCTTTCGTTTTGTTCTTTGTTGAATTCTACATAAAGCATCATGACTGATGGTTTTAACTACCTTTAATGCCTTTACACTGAAAGTCTTTAACTGTCAGTGTGAATTCAGTAAAAAGGGGAGAACAAAATAGGTTCTAATTTTTCTTAAAAGTTTTTGGAACTATACAAGTGACTCAGTTCAAAAGAATTCCAGCATATATAACTCAGTCATATAATTAACTTATAATGAAATCACACATATACATTTACACTGTCTCATTTTTCATGAAAATGTTTTAAAATACACAGTAATAAGTAAAGATCATAACATATCTTTAATCAAAAGTAAAGCTTTGCTGAGGCAAAAAGAAATAATACAAATTATTTTGAGGTACAGGCTTTGCGATTTTTGTGTGTGTGTCTTTTTGAGACAGGGTCTCACTATGCAGTTCAGGCTGGCCTTGAGCTCACTTTGTAGCCCAGGCTGGCCTCAAACTCGCAACGATCCTCCTGTCTCAGCCTCCTGAGTGCAGGGATTACAGGCGTGTGCCACCACGCCTGGCCTCTTTCGTGATTAATTAAGATTTCGATTATAAAATTACATTATAAGAAGTCAGAGTGAAAAATTCTTCACAAATCATACAATGAGAAGGTGTCTGGCTTTGTGGTGACAATACCAAAATACCTCTGCAAGCGGCCGACAATTGTCTGGGCTGATTCACAATAAGCCTGCTCACCCAGCAAACCTGCACATCTACTGGACTGGCCCTTGTGTGAGGCCTGCCATGCTCTCCCTCCATGCTCTCAACCTCCTCCCTCCCACCTGTGCGGGAAAGCATCTGACAGCCACAGCTGCTGAGGAGTGTGAGTCCTGTGAGCTAATCGGCTGAGCCGCTGGAGCTCCTCGTTGCTGACTAATAGACTCTGGTTAGCCCCTAACTCAACTTCGTTACTCTACAGCAGTTTCTCACACTTTTATTAGGAAAGTCCTGGGGGAAGAGCAAATTCTGCAAATTAGTTGGTTCATCCATTCAGGCATTTACTGAGCATGCATTGAATCCCAGAGCCATGGAAAAACCACACAGGCTTTGCCTTAAGAGTCTCCCAAGGAGGTAAGTAAGAAGTACACAAAGGACAAACCTGTCTGGAATACTGCCACACAAGACCAGGGTGCAAAGGAGGAACGTCTAAATCACTTTTAGTCTGCAGCGCTTTGCATAATGGACAAACTCTCCACTAGTGGAAGTATTGCTCTACGTTGAGAGCTCATAGGGACTGGTCAAATGACAGCATCATGGATGTGTAAGAACCAAGAATTCCTGGATCTGGTGAAACATACACATACTCTAAAATAGATATAAGGCAATCTGGTACTAAATATAAAACTCTACAGAACAGTAATATTGTAGTTAAAACTTTATAAATGTGCACAGGGCAACAAGGAAAATAATACAGACATACCACTAAGGAATTACAGATCATTTTAACTGTAATTTTTTGATTTGCCTGCATTTTCTAAAGCATATATGTGGTACTTTTGTAATAAAGGCATTATTTGATTTTTTTTGCTGATAGAAGTTAGAATTTTAAATTTTGTCTTATTCCTAAGCAACAGAATCACCTGGAGGATTGACTGATTGAGCTGAGGTACTGGGGACTGAATCCAGGACTTCACACATGCCAGGCCCCCTAGCACCAAGCTACATCCCCAGCCTTCACCTGAAAGATTTTTAAAAATCTGAATGTCCAAGCTACATTCCATACTAACAGACTCAGAACAGACAAGGGGCCCAATCACCCTTTAACATCCAGCTGATTCCCCAAGCACGGCCAAATTTGAGATCCAGTGTCTAAAGATACTTTATTATTGCCTACAACAACGTTAGAACTCAGAAAAACAAGAAAGGAAAAAAAAAAAAGGAGCTTCTGAAGAGAAGTGAATTACAGGGCCCTGCTAGTCTGCAATTCACTAATCCAAAGGCAGAGTCATCAGTGCCTAACTCTACAGTCAGACTGACCTTGCCTGGATCCCATCAGCACCCGGTCCTGCCTGCCTCGCTGTGGACATGTTTGCCGGGCTCTCTAAGCCTCAGTTTCTCCTCTGTAAGTGGGGTAAAGAACGTGGCACAGTTTCAGCGCTGTCAAAGCTCAACAAATGTCAGCATCACATTTTTTATTAGCAGTGACAGAAAGTACATATATATTCACAGATTTTTTTCTGCCATGTGCCTATTTCTTGTTTAAGTGTGGTCCAAGATAAAAGTCAAATGAGCCTAAGTCAGAAGGCTCTTTCTGACAAAACAGTCACTGGCTAGCAGACCACCAACAGAGGAATAAAAATAATAATAATGACATACTGACCTCCTCCCTAGGAGATATTAGGAAAAGGTCAACCAATGAATTGAGAAAAAACTGACACTCCCTAGTTGCACTGCATCTATCTTTACCAAAGCAGGAACAGCAAATGTAAAAAAGGCTCGCCACAATCAAGAGCACCAGCGTCCCTTACAGCTCTGAAAGAACCCAGTGTGCCGTCTCTAACAGTGTGCACACCTGACCTGTTCAACACAGTTGGTTACTTATTTTAAATCAGATTCTGGTTCTGCAATGCATCAAATTCTTTAACCTTCTCTGATCTTTAAACGGCCAACAACTTTTTCTGTTAGAAAATTATTATTCCTAAACTAAAGTTCTTTATAACTGATCGCATCTGCCCCATTGCAGGCCTCACTGTACTTTTAGTGATTAATCCAAAACTGCCCTTATTGAAATAAAAACTTGTATGTGGTGATAGCCTTTACAGGAAAGCGGGACAAGCAGAAAATTCAATTGTGCTTCAGCAATTTTTATTGTACTTACTACAGCTTAGAGATATAATTTTACTTTTGTTACAGCCTAATCAGATATAATTATGTGTCTTTTAAACTCTAGCTTTGCTATCTCTGAAATTGCCAACTGCTCAGTCTTAATACACTTCTTCCATCTTCCCTTAGAAAATCTATATCCAACTCTTTAATTATGTATGTTGCTTTTTCATTCTTTTTTTATAGAGGGAAATAATTCACTTTGACAACGTAAACGTGCCAAACTGCGATGTAATTGTGCATCTTAAGTGATTATGTTGGAAGCAAAGAAACTCATGTACGCTGGGGAACTATTCCAGAGCTCAGGTCTGCAACTACCATTCCAGAGCTCAGGTCTGCAACTGCATGTGTGCACCTGCATCAAAACAGACCCAAGCAAGCTTCACAGCAC